CCTAGCATCCTGGTCGCTAGGCAACGCAAGTCAACAGCGGTGACGTCACCAAGTAGTAACAGCGGTTACCTCCGCTAGCGTTACATAGCAACACGGCGCCATGCAAAGGGTGCCTATTACGTGGCCGTTTTCCCGTATTGTCCGATCGAGGCTACATACGGAGCAGCGAAGGCTATTCACAGTCAGTTGTACTGAGTTGTACTGTAACAGTCGCCGAGTCGAGACGTAGAGTCAGCCAGTCAGTTGTATTCTGGCATTGGGAGTGGACTAATTGTGATACTGCAGATAGCAGTAATCGTAAAACTGTAATTTGGGTGATTGTATGAGCGAATGTGAAATAAAATTCGCTACACCGAATACATCGTGAGCTTATTTGTCGCGATATACCCCGCGATACGCGACAATATATATATACGCACACACACACACAAGGTGGTTCAAATATGACTGGGACTGATTTTTTTTTTTTAACCGTTATTTGCCAAACACTTACTTGCACATGTCAGTCTTCAAAGTACTCCCCTCCGGAGTCAACACATTTTTTCCAACGTTCTGGAAGCATCCTGATGCCCTTTTCAAAAAAGACTTGTGGTTGGTGGTGTATCCACTCCTGAACAGTCTGGTTGATGATGTCATCCACAAACCGCATGCCTTGCAAGTCTGATTTGAGCCTTCCGAACAGGTAGAAATCACTTGGGGCCAAATCGGGAATGTATGGCGGATGTGTCAGAAGGTTCCTTTTCAATTTCCATAGTGTTTCCATTGTTGTTTTGGCTGTATGGGGGCGTGCATTGTCTTGAAGGAAGCCTGCCTGCTTTCCACCTGTCTTCCGCTTGGATTGGATCTTTTCCTTCACGTCTGTTGCCAGGAGGTCTGAGTAATAAGCTGCATTGACTGTTCGGGCATCTGTCAAAGTCTACATGGATAACCCTTTGCCAGTCCCAGAAGAACATTGCCATCACTTTTCCTGCCGAACAGCTTCTCCGTGCTCGCTTGGGTTTGGGAGAACTGGTATGCCGCCAATCGCATGATGACTGCTGGGACTTGGGAATGAAGTAGTGCACCCACGTTTCATCAGTGGTCACTAGAGACTTCAAAAACGCATCACCTTCATCTTCAAACTGCTGTAGGAGATGACTGGCAGCTTGCATGCGCACCATTTTGTTCATGTCCAGCAAAGTGCGTGGTATCCACCATGCATTCACCTTGCGATAGTGCAGGTGGTATTTCACGATGTCCTCTACACTACCAACACTGATGGGCAGCATTGCTCCAAGTTCCTTGATAGTGATGCGCCTATTCTCACGAATAAGCTCATCTGCATTATCAGTGTTTGGCTCAGTGACGGATGTTCGCGGCCGACAATCACGCGGTTCATTCTCCACATGCTCTGTGCCCTCTCTGAAGCACTTACACCACTCAAACACACCGGTCGTTGAGAAACACTCTTCACCATACTGTTGTTGGAGTCTGTGGTGAATTTCAGCAGACGGGACGTTTTCTCCGAGGAATTTGATCACAGTGCGTTGTTGCACGCTCCGTGGTACCTTCTGTTCGCTCATCACTCTAGCAACTCCCAGGCAGGACTGAACAGGTTCTAACCCGAACAGGAGGGAGGGTGGAGGTTGTGGCTTCACTCTCTCAAGGTTCCACAGCTGTGCAGTGTGGCTTGTTTACACACAAATCAGTCCTGGTCATATTTGAACCACCTTGTATATAATAAATTTGGCCAACATGGGGTGCTGCTTGCTGCATATATATATATATATATATATAAAACATTCAGCCATGGAAGGTTAATAAGTTTTTGTTCTGTGTTGTCCCTTTCATAAATCATTCAATTTTGCCGTATATATACATGTTGATAATGGTACTGTAGTTGAAAGTTTGGAATAATATGATTGCAGGTGGTCGAACAGCTGATGAGATTGTGAGTTGGCTGTTGAAAAAAACTGGTCCTGTTGCAGCAGTCCTTGCTTCTGTTGATGATGCTAAAGGGTTTATTGATGCAAGCACTGTTGCAGTCGTCGGTTTCTTTAAGGTAATTTTGTCAGTGTAAACCATTTCTACACAAGGTAATACACTTGGACTTCCTGTAACACATGCTGTAAGGTCAGAATATTCATGAGCTTATTAAGTAATTGTGACCTGTGTTCAGGAGGATCGTCCAAGAGGACTGAATGAATGATGATGCTACAGTTGCCACAGGTATGTGGCACATGTTATGCCATGATGACCCAGACATGCATAGTTATATGAGTAGGTTACCTTGTTCCACAAAATCTTGAATATCGAAGAATGATACTGCATACATGGAGACATGTTTGACACAGTCAGTGGAAGCATTCTGAGTTCGATATCGTGCTACTACCTTCTCGATGCACAATCTGAACTGCAGACTTGAAAGTCGTCATCTTCACTCAGGAAGCGAATGTTTCATGTGAACCACTCGGAAGGAGATATTTGTTTATGGTCAGGATGTTCACCATGAGTTCATTCTGGAGAAGCATAATGTTGCAAGATCATGTACAGAGACAATTTTGCCACCTGCAGAAATATTCATCTTCAGGAATTTTGAAGTTGAGTGCTCTGCCATGACAGTTCAGCAGCTTATCAGTCACTTTTGGTACAGGAGTATGTGATCCAGAATGATGTTGCACATCAGCACTGTGGCATTTACATGTTTTCAACGGTCTGTGGATGAGATGAAAGAGATTGTTGTGGTAGAAGTGAAAGGACCTCACAGAGAAAGCCCTCAGAAATGTTTCCGGTAGTCATAACTTTGACTACTGGCAGAAACATGTTATAGCAGAAGGGAAGTTGGCAAGCACTGAACCCTCCATGATGACAGGTAAGAACACATGGGCCCTACCACGTAGGTTCCATAATATGCAGTTATATTTTATTAACAAATGATCTGGACACTTCAAGAAATGAAACACGTCTGATTGGGTTGAGTGAACTGGAGGAAATCAGATACTTTTACTGTATTAAATTTCATTCATGTAGTATATCCTTCCCACAGGCCACACCATAGCTCAAGCAGTTAGTTGCTGGCTTCCCACTGCGGTGGCCCGGATTCAGTCTCGGGTCTGGTGAAGTGGGATTTGTAGTGGACAGAGTGGCACTGGGGCGGGTTTTCTCCGAGTACTTCGGTTTCCCCTGCCAATCTTCATTCCACCAAATTCTCCAACATCATAATCATCCGTGGCAGGCTACAATAGGCTAATCAGTGCCGCCGTGCCAAGTGGACCCAATTGGACTCCACCGCCCACTAAGAGAATTAAAAAAAATTGCTTGGAAACTGTTACTAAGAGAAGACTAGCGAATGAATGGGGAAGTTGCCACAGCATTGCTAGTTTGTTGTTCCATGCTTGTGTCTGTAGCAGCAACATTATGAAACTGATACCTGGCGGGACTACATAGGAATAGAACTGAACCATTTTATGAGAATAAATGATTAAAATAGTTCTGTGTAATACATCTTTTTGGAGGTCATATACATTCGTTCCTTTTTTTTTTTTATGTTTATGCATTTTCTGGGTGACAGAGTATGGTGTATCTTATTGATTTGTTTAATTCTAACTTATTAACTTTAAATTTTAACAAAACTAAACATGTTCAATTTATGACAAAGCCAAGTTCTAATAGCATAACTTATGTTAATTATAATAATGTGAATTTAAGTAGTACAAATGTGAAATTCTTGGGATTAGCTATTGGAAGCTCATGTACTTGGAAAGCTCATGTATCCCAACTCATGCCTAAATTATCCAAGGCTTGTTATTCAATGAGGGTGATCAAGCCCATTATGCCCACTGAGACATTAAAAATGGTATATTACTCTTATTTCCATTCACTTTTGTCCTATGGAATTATTTTTTGGGGCAATTCTTATAGTATACCCATTTTAATACTAGGCGTAATTTTGATCTTTATCGTCGTAAGACAAATTTGACAACTTACCAGAGAGGACCTTATTATTTTGGTATTAAACTTTTTGATCATCTTCCTTCAAATATAAAAGAGTTAATCCATAATATTAAGCAATTTAGAGCAGCTTTAAGTGCCTTTTTACATACTAAATCCTGTTGCACTTTAGATGAATATTTTAATTAGGGATAGTTTCTTGTTTAGCTATGACCCATTATTTGATCTATTGTCATGTATATGTTCCAATTTTGTATTATATCTTATATACATGTGGTAGGTTATGTAGTTGCAGTGATGTGTAGGGGTTTCATTTGCTCGATTTATTGTTGTGGATTTATATGCATTGTTCTGTAGACTACTTGCTGATTTAGCAAGCTTGTGGTGTGACAGGTTCTGTATCCAGTGGCTTCGGCCTTGTAGGGATGTGCTGGAAAGTGTAATAAATACAGTACAATACCTCAGTTCCCCCTTATTATATCTTCATGGTATGATGCTTAAATAAGCACAGGGACAACATATCTCGCTTTGTATGTTTCATAAAATTTATTGAGTGTTTACTGTAGTGAGTAAATTTATTAGTGCAATTTTTATGGTTTTAAAATATTTTAATGGGATGTGCATTTTGGAAATGATTGCTACTTTTCATCTAGCATATATTTTGTGACTAGTCGTTTTATCTTGTGTTTTTCGTCATCTTGTCTATGATTTTGAAACACTGCAATGATGATCTTCAAAGTGGTTTTTGAAATGAATAATGAAAATTATTCGTATCCTCTAAGAAGAACTGAGCATGTGTTAACAAGAGATCTAGGTGATCTTTGATTGGTTAAAGAGCACTGCAATATGTGTTTCTGAGAGGTAGATTTCAAACTCGGTAAATTTGTGCTGGGAGGACCAATCTGATATGCAGTGTAACTGGTGTTTGATTTCTGACTAATAATACTGTCATCCAACATAAATTCTTACATCTGTCAGTGGTATGTGACATTTGGCATGGACTGCAGAGAAAATTTGAATTGGACTGTTGACTTGCCTGGCTAGATGGCCATTCTTCCCCCTCCCCCATCTCAAAAGAAGTCATGCAGCAATGTGACAACAGTATGGCAAGCATATCTTTTTTTAACATTACAGTTATGACATATCTCTAGGTCCATAAACCAAACAATTGATCAAATCGTGAAGAAATTACTTCTGTTTGTGGAAGCCGAAGATTCATTACTGTGCTCACAGTAAGAGCCTGCGATTGAATTTTGTCTGAAGAACCTTGAAGAAAATGGACCACTTGCGAGATCTGTGCATAGATGGGAGGATAATTGGTCTTAAATAGAACATGAGACTGTTGACTGGATGCAGCTTGTTTAGGATTAGGTCCATTTGCCACAGTGATGAACCATAAGGTTCTGTCAGGTGTTTCTTGACTCTCTGTGTGTCATTATCAGCTTCATGGACTTTGCCTCCTAGAAGAATATCAAATGCTGAATTTCTTTGTCAGTAGCTCTTAATGATCATAAGTATGTTGTGCATGATCATCATTGGTATCAGACATGCATATGGTGATTGAGAAGTAGCAGTGCTTTTAGTTGAAGCTGCTATTAAAGTCATTATGTAGTAGTGCGTGTATTCTTTGTAACTTGTATGTAACAAGTGCTCTGAAATCTCCAGGGATTAGAAATGTCTGAAAGTAGACCTTCAGTACCTGGAAACTTCTTATTCTCATCCAGCTATATACATATAAAGCTGGCACTCAGTGTACAGTTTTTATGTCTTTTAATAGTTGGAGTTGGTGGTAGTTATGAATAGGAATAGAAATGCTAACGGCTTGAGTTAATGTTTCAGTGTTCATTAGGGACAAAAACAGTTCTGGTATCTCTAGGTAGTGCCATTTCTTGCATCGTGTTATTCTCTCAGTTGTAAATAAAGTTTTCACTTTGCTTAATTAATTAAGCACCATCCCATTAAGACATGGTGGCGTGGAGGTAGGGCTCCGTATATTATTAACCTTTGCATCACATAGATTTGTGTGGTAATCACATCTCTGCTACCCCTCCCCCACATGGAAAGAGTCCCTGGGATCCATTGGAGAGGGGGCACCACATCCAGTCTGGACACTGGAGGAGAGAAAATTCTCTTTCCCCAACTGGGAATTGAAACCCAGTCCCCCAGCTATGCTCTTTATAGTCAGTTTGCTGTACTAACTGACATTACTGTAGTCAGATTTGAGGTTTTTGTGGCGTTGACTATGAAGAGAGCAGTCTTCTGGGATGTGGCGCCGTATAGGTATTGTGTTAACCAACGTTTCAGAGGAATGTATCACCTCCATTTCAAGGTAGAAGAAAAAAGAAGAAAATCTGCAAGCAAAGAACTGATGCGAGCAGGTGCAGATAGACTGATGTTGAGAATAAACCTAGCTACATAGAGCAGGAAGAGAAGGGAGAAGGGGGGGCAACATGGGAAATCAGTAGAGAGGAGAGGGGAAGGGTCTGGGCAGGTTGGGCCAGCAGGTAGTAGGCTAGAGCAAGTATAGAATATTGTGTCTGAAACGTCGGTTATCACAGTACCTACACGGCGCCACATCCCAGAAGACTGCTCCCTTCATAACTAGTCATCCTGTACAGAACTCTTAGGCTTATTTTGGACTCTGCAGCATATACCAGCATCAGAATCCTTTCAAGTCTATTTGTAGTCATCGTCCCACAACTTTTCAGGCTTTGAGTGTGTGTTCAGTGGAATCATGGTTTTGAAAAGGGCTGCAGTGTTTAAAGAATGGATCACTGAAATAAATAGTGTGATGAAGTATGATATTACAGCCACTACAATTTCAGCATTCTTTATTCTCATGTATAGTAATTAATGAACCACAGTGAAAGGCAGAAGCTCCTGTACTAATCTGACTTCTTGAGCTTCTGCAGATAGTCTTAACCTTTTGGGCTTTTAAGAAATGAAACATAATCATTCACTGTGCAGGGAGTTAATGGATTTGTTTTATTATTTCAGGACAATTCATCAACAGCTGCAAAGAACTTCCTAGCAGTAGCTAATGCAGTTGATGACTATCCATTTGGCATAACATCAACAGATGATGTCTTCAGCGAGTACAGTGTTGATGGTGAGACAGTTGTCCTGTTTAAGAAGGTAATTTAAAACTGAAACATATGAAGGAAAGTACAGGCAGTTTATGTTAAGTCATGTTAGCAACAGTGAAATGGGACATATTTAAACAGTAATAACCCACCCTCTGATTTGTAGGTAGTTGTTCATTTTATTTTGAGTAGTGCTAATACCGTGATGTGTTTGATATGTCTGCTTCAGTAACAGGATTCATCAAAGAAGAGCCATCTGTGATCCATTTTTTGTATTCAGAGAGTGAAAGCTAGTGAAATTAGGTGAAGAATGGTAGTTCAGTATAGTGATGACTGTATAAGCCTGAGGATTTTTTATTGCTGGTATCTTCTTGATAATTAGCATTCTAGGCAGCAGTCAGCTTTAACATGTATTGAGGTTAGCATTACTGAAATGGGTGTGACTTCTGGAAAGAAGTGGTGCAATAATAGATCAAGTTCTAACCAAACCTTTCTGTTCTGGTATAATCAAGGAATTTGTGGACTGTTGGACAGAATGTATCGAAAGGCAGGGTGATTACACCTTTTTGTTGTGTGGAGTCCAGCATTTTGCAGCTGCTTTCACTGTTACTACTCGAAGTACTGGACACTAACACTGTTGTGATAAAGTGTTCCTAATGTGTGGACACCAACATGTAAACTGGGCTGTTTTCTCCTGTACCAGACAAGTATAAGTACTTGCTTTTATTATCATACCACAATATAGTATAGTAGCTAAAACTGTTACCTTTAAAGTACGGAATTTTAAATTGTTGAGAGCCTGCTGCGCCCAGAATTTAAATAGCCCTAAGTCTTTAAAGTTGCAGACTTTCAGAAAAAACTACATATTTTCCATTCTGTGCAATAAAGAAATAAGAACTAAAAACGGCCTGATAAACAATAAAATTTTCTACATATACACAAAAGAGCAATTTTTACAAATGAAAATATATTGTGATTATTTTGTGGTGAAATGCAAAATGTCGTCTTTATTATATATATTATGAAATTCCAAAGGAATTCCGTGTTGTTTTTTCTCGAAACTTCAGACATGTTGATTTTGTAAAAAATAATCACACGGCACTGCTTTAAACAATGGAAAATACGTATTCAGCAGTGTATAGATGGGGGGGGGGATGTTGAAGGGGATACAAATCAGAAGAAAGCAGTCTTCTGGGGTGTGGCGTCGTGTAGATGTTGTGTTAACCCGACGTTTCGGAGGAACGTATCTCCTCCATCTTCAGGGTAGAAGAAAGAAGAAGAAAATCCACGAGCAGGGAACCAGCGTGATCAAGTTCTAACAGACTAATGTGGAGTCAAACCTAGCTGTATAAGAGCAGGAAGAAAAGGGAGAAGGGCTACATGGGAAATTAGTAGAGAGGAGAGAAGGGTCTGGGGAGGTGGGCCAGCAGGGGGGGGGGAAAGGCAAGGTTAATTGGAGGGCATTAACCCTGAGGCGTGGCCTTGTGGATCTGGCATAATGTTCCAGAGGTTTCTTGAAGGATACAAATTAATTTGTAAGATTTTGAATAACCCTGAACTTTTCACACCAGTTCCATTATTTTTTATTTGAACCTCATGTTCAAAACTGTACTTTGGAAAGGAATGATTCAGTTTGTCGTACTGTTTTTTTTAAATAAGAGTAAATATGCATTTTGAGAGTTTGTGGATATACTTCTGCGTGTATAAATTATGAACATATTTCATGAGTTGCAGTTAGTAGTGAGAAGTATCTGTACTCCTCCGTTTCAGTTTGATGAGGGCCGTGCTGACTTAGAAGGTGAAATTACTGAGAAGAATATTAAGAAGTTTGTGACATCACAATCCCTGCCTCTGGTTGTTGACTTCAATCATGAAACAGCACAGAAAATCTTTGGTGGTGAGATAAAGAGTCACCTCCTCATGTTCCTGTCACAACAAGATGGTCATATAGATAAATACTTAGAAGGTGCTCGTGAAATTGCCAAGGAATTCAGAGAACAGGTATGTAGTTATTTAATTATTTATTAATATACTTTCATAATTATTCATATAGTGGCTGAAAGCCCGAATAGTGGAACAAATGGGTGCGGTCATTGCTAGGCAACGGCATGGTAAACACGTTTCCACAGCAACACAGGCTGACACAACATTAGAGGGATTGTTAGAGAAGAAACACAATAAAAGAGCTGTTTGAAGTGGTGTTATCTGCCTGGTGCATGCAGGAGCTATATCAAGAGAGTCTGTAGACAGACAGACAGACAGACAGACAGACTAGTACAAGTCTGAGATTGTTGTGAGACAGTTGCCCCCTGGCAGAAGTGTGGGCGTGGAGGTGAAGTCCCTGTTGTTGGCAGCTGTTACCTGGCATACTTACATACCGTGAAGTGTGTGAATTAGTGAAACATTTATTATTACTTGTAATATTGTATTTCAGCTTCCTGTTGCATTAATTTTCACTTATACACATGTATACTTTTGTCTCAATTGCAACTTTATTATTTCATTTTCTCCACTTGTTTCTGCTTACCTGACCGTGTTAAAATTGTTCCACTCTATTTTCACTTTATTTAAAAGAATTAGTTTTGGTAAAATATTTCGGGGTCATTCCATTATCATCCATTTATAAAAGTATTTTGTTTGAGCACATTACTGGTCATATTTTCTCCAGTTCCGTACCAGGGTTCACTTCAGATATAAAACTTACATCAAAATTTACAAAAAAAGTATTTTCTTTCTTACAGGCTTGGTGACAAGAAAACCAAAAAGACAATTTTATTTTCTGCCTAAATTCTGTAAATATTAAATTTCTATATTTCTTTTTATTTTTTCCAAATTATTTATGGTGCTAGCACTTTTGTGCTATTTAGCTTAACTGTGCTGTTTTTAGTGAATAATGTAATTTTTTCTCATATGTCTTTGACCAAAGTTGTATTTTTGGAGAATTTTTAAAGTGAATCTTGTAAATTGAGCCAAAGACACCCTGAGTGTTTTAGTGTTTTGTTGGAAAATGGGCTGAGTGTGTAAGCGTCAAACTGCTTCATGTGTTGTGTATGTTGGCCAAGTTTGATACAAACCAGTTACTTTATTCTCACTTATAAGAATGCTGCAAGAGTCAGCGAATACTGGGCGGAACTTTCGCTTATAAATAAAGGCACCTGATAAGTTGGTTGTGAATAGAAGAGGTTAGATATTTTTAAGAAAAGTCCAGATAATGTTACCAATGATCAAAATACTTAATTAATCTTTGATACTGCCAAATCTCCAGGAAAACGACTCCAAAGAAGGAAATGAAGAAATGCTGCTGTACCTGCGTTTTTTTGAAACCATAGGGTCATATTGTGTTATACATAATTGGAAGTTAGGGGATGGACTTCTACTTTCAACCCTTTTCGGATATTACGTGTATTTGTTAGGATCAACATTTTTACAAGTTTTGTAAATTCTTGTGATAGCAAGATAGCATTGTACATTTAATAATTCATACAAGATGATGAACGGTTTTATGATGTAATTTTGCATAATCCCTGTTTAGTTATATCCTTGATTTAGTGTAAGAGAAACCATTCCCCTATAAACCCAGTAAATCTGCTGTGTTAATCATCACATCATCCCCTGTTGGCAGGGGTAGAGTGATGGCTCCTGAAATGTTGGATATCAAATCCATTTTTGAATGGCTGATTGTTCAAGAAGACAGCTCCTGTGAAAGTCTCAAATCTTTCTACCCCTCTTGTTCCTCCTTACGCTGCTGTCACAGCTTCTCCTCCTCTGCCTGTGCCGTCACCTATTCGTTTGTTTCATATGAATTGATTGAAGAAAAGTCTCCACTCTCTAGCTTTCTTCCCACAGTCCTTGAATGAGTGAATGAATGTATGTATAAGGGGTGGGCCTTCTCGGCCCTTGCACTGCGACCTGCAGTGATCTATTATGCTTCCCCTTTTGATTACCCCCTCAGCAATCCTGCTCTTCAAATGAAGCATAGCATTTTGTATGTGGGGGCGTCAAAATGTGAAACATGGAATAGCATACAAAACAGCTCTGCTGTAATGTGATGTGATCATACTACATTATCACAGACCTTCACCCGATCTCTTAAAGAAAAGTGAAATCATTAGTATAAATGTAGTTAAGAGACAGTGTTTCACAGCACTTTACACATCAACAGGTGGGAATCTTTTTTTTCTCTCTTGGCCAGCACTGTGGCTTGTAAGCATACATTAGTCCAGGAACAAACAGAAAGGCTTAACAGTCTAATCAACAGTTTAATTTTTACATGCAAAATTGACTTTCATCAGACTTCTTTCCAAATTATATGAAATTTAAAATGTGATTTAGAGTCCCCTGATATGAGAGGCCTTGGAACTTGGAACTTAATAAAATATAACTACATATGCCCAGTTTCAGTTTAACAAACATTTCGACAAATACACCTACAGTAAAAGGTATCAAATTTAAAGAAATTCTTCTGAGAACAGATTGTGGATTAGTGACTTACCCCACAGTCCTTCCTTTCAAATTGCTACCATCTTGTCTTGGTGCTCTGTAGTACCACGTTGCACCATCTTGTTCTAGGCTGTCCATGAATCTATTTTATATGAAAATCAGTTCTGATTAATGTCTCAGTTTGATGTTCTGTCCATTCATTTTACATGCTAAAACAATTTCATATATTTCTGCTCTAAATTGTTTAAATAATTTTTAATTATTCCTTAATGCGTGGGTTGGTTGGAGTGCAAGGTTCGTTGGAATGCTACTCACTGAGTCTTGACTTAAACAATATGAAAATCATGAGGATGTAATGTATGGGACAGAATATTGTTTAGATAGTTTGGATTGGGAGAGCAATGGCCAGATTGTAGAGATGTAGTGACATCACATTAATTTATCTTTGGTTTCTAATTCACTGCAGGTATAATTGAGAAATGATTACTTATACATATCCCCAAGACTGAAACAATATCAGCCTTTAATTTTGGGCAGGTATTCAAATGGTCATTGGGAAAGTAAAATCGTACTCATCCTCCTGGCTTGTGTGTTACATAACCTGTCAGGGTGGAATAGTACTGAAACAGTGTACAGGAAGTCTTGGATATGAGTATGTGACTTACTAACATCTGTATTGTGTACAAAATATAGGTTTGAGTAAATGAGAGTAGGACTATTCATAGTTCATGTTCCTCCTTGCCATTTTATTAGTAGCATTATGCTAGTATTGCTTTCTGCTATTAATCCTACTTTAGGCTGACTAGAACTTCACTGTTTATAACATTTTGTTCATGGGAAATTAAGTTGAATGAACCACTTGAAAGACTGCCTCTGTGGTCTAGTGGTCAGCATTCCTGGCTACAGATCCAGAGCTCCAGGTTCGATTCCCGGAGCTACCAGATTTTTTTTGGAGAAGTAGTGGGTCTGGAACATGGTCCACTCAGCCTCGTGATGTTAACTGAGAAGTTATTTCAAGGAAATAGCGGCTCTGGTCTAGAAAACCGAAATTAATGGCCATGGGGATTTGTTGCACTGACCACACGACACCCTCTATCCGCAAAAGTTGGCAATAAACTTTGCTGGGAAGTGGCAGTCGCTTGGTCGGTATAGTTCGCTTGCGGACTGAAATCACGGATTTTTTTTTTAACCACTTGAAATGCAACCTGTTTGTAGTTGGGAGACCTCCTGTATGGAAAGCGATATTTCCACCAATTACGGTGGTACGCCTCATTTGAGAATCATTTTGGGGGCAGTGTATGTGAACCAGACTGGAGAAAATCTTAAAAGGAGGAATTCTTAACACCATGAAATCAGTGAAATTAAATGTTAACCCTTTGAAGACAGAATTTCTTCAGATTAATAACAGGAAACACATCTCCAAAACAGAGATCAGCCAGTTAATGCTGTTTAGGGAAACAATTGCTGTTTGTGATGGGTCTCATATGAAATGCACAAATATTCTCTGTGGGCACAATGTAGAATTTTAGTATGTTGAAGCATGTGGTACGTATAGAAACATTAGGCACTAAAGGGTTAAATTAGGAACATTAAGTGAGGGTTTTGCTGTATTCTGAACTGCACTCACATGTGCAGAAAGATAGGTCATAGCCTGTTATACCCTTCCCCTGCACTGGGGTCATGTGAAAATAAGGTAGGAGACTCAGCTGATGTTCATAAAAGCCTTCAATTTCACCACTGTGTGCCCCAGTCGTTATGTAAATTAATAGTATGGTTCTCATTCTAACACTGATGCATATTTTTCAGGTTTTGTTCGTATCCATCAATTCCGATGAAGAGGATCATCAACGAATCATTGAATTCTTTGGAATGAAGAAGGATGAGATTCCAGCAATGAGACTGATTCGTCTAGAAGAGGACATGGCTAAATATAAGCCCCAGAAACCTGAACTGACGAAAGATAACATCAAGTCATTTGTACAAGACTTCATTGATGGGAAACTTAAAGTGAGTAATGACTGAGATTTTAAGATTACTGTCTTCTGGAATGTGGTGCCTCCCTCAGCAAAGTACCCTTTTGCCTTGGAAATGGGGGCAGCACATTCCTCCAAAACATTGGTAACAGTCTACCAGAAGACAAGCATAACTCGCAGTCACTTGTGTGAGAATCTCACAGAGATTTTACCATATGTCAATACTCAGAGTATTCTTCTCTTGCTCTAGTACTTTTTATGTGCTTTCATAGGTGGCCCCTTTGTATTTGAAACTCTGCCATCTGAAGGGTAAACATGTAACTTCATTGTTTTAACTAGAAAGGAGGGAACCTTGATATACATGCATCTGCTTTAGAAAACTTCTCCATGTCCATAGGGTACATATTCAGTGACATGACTTCACTGTGTCTCAAGGGGTAGGTCACAGTGAACATAGTAGTATGTCTAGGTATGATGATGTTAACTGCAACAGTTTCTCGCTGAAGTTTAAATAGCAACAATGACATCATCAGCAGCAGCAGTCTGGTGTGTAGTGATGTTCATCCAACCATCACTTTTGGAAAAGCAGTGATTGTGGGGATTTGGGGGGGGGGGTTAAAATTCAGCAGAGAAAGAGATTGTTGTCATTACTGCTATTAAAACCTGAACTTCCATCAGGATGAGATGTTGCTCTTATTCTATGGTACAAACATACCTACATCACAATCCAGTGTGAGGTAACCGGAATGGCAAATTTTATTTTGTGTGACACCAGTTGCAGTGTTACAAAGGACATTTTACAGTGCATTGGGCAAGAGGACTACAGCTGGGATGTATGCACAGCTACAGATGGCACTCATTGTGAAGTGTGGTGCCCCCTCCCCCCTTCCCAACAAATTTTCCACATTAAAGAAACTTGTCTGTTGAATAAAATGCTGCAAGCAAAACACTCATCTATTTTCATTCATAAGCTGCAGGTGCGTGAAATCCTGGAATATTTTTGTGGAACGTATGTATGTCAGATGTAATATAAAGTCTGCTACTGAGAGGTTCTTGTTCAAAAGAAAATGTGCAACAGTTGCTGGTATGAAATGTGTTTATGTGTAACCTGTTATGATGAATTTTCAGACTGATAACAATGAAGAGGTACAGTTTCATCCTCTGAGAAGAGCTGAACAGGTTTTGTTGGTGTACTTCACTAAGATAGAATGGAAGGAGAATAAATAAAGCTGTTCCATCTATACTAGGAGAGAAACAACTAGTTATGTTTATAGTTTTTTCAGTAAACAATTTTGGTGGCACTAGACACATTGTTTGATGGTGATGCATTATTTCTCCTTGCAGCAACACTTGTTATCACAAGATCTTCCGCAGGATTGGGATAGCTCACCAGTGAAAGTTCTGGTCTCCAGCAACTTTGATGAAATCGCATTCAACAAGGATAAGGATGTGTTGGTGGAATTCTATGCACCTTGGTGTGGACACTGCAAACAGTTAGCTCCCATATATGATCAGGTGAGAGGAATTATTTTCAGTAGACTTACATATTCTCATTGTCATTGATGAAACAGTGTTTAAACACAGTTCAGCAAAGGATGGAAAAAGTAATTTTGATTCAGTTCAGAAGTTATATGCTGAAGTCCCCCCCTCCAAGTGACTGGAATGATAAATCTTATTTTAGTGTGATACAAAGTGTTTTGTGTAGTCTTTGCAGATATTGGCCCTGTTGAGATGGTATATATGGAAAGCAAGATACTCTACACATGGAGGGATATTGCACAGCTGTTTACATAGCCGTTGTAACAAAAATCTTCTGTATTCATTGCGTAGGAATCAATGTCTTCGGTAGTTCCTGTGCCGTCATGATTATTGAGACCTTCACTGCTAAGTAACTGAAGTTCTGTTGTTGACCGCGTTACACGGATTTTTCTGGTTCCATATCTTAATGCTTTGAGCAACCCGTCACAATATTAAAGTTGATCTCATAGGAATAGGATGGTGGATAGGGACTAATAGGAAGCTTTTGTATATGTAGTGATGATCATTTAAGTTCAGTAAAATACTTGTAATTTTTTGAGTGGCTCAGCAGCTGTTTACATCTCAAAAAGATTCAGGTCCATGGAGTTAGTTTCATGTAGGAGACATAAAACGCGGTGGTGTGGGTAGCGCTCATGCTTCATATGAGAGGTCCTGTATTCAAGTCTTAGCTCAGAGATTACTCTTGAGTGTTGTTTTTTATGGTTTTCTTCAGTCCCTCAAGGCAAATGGCCAGAATAGTACCTGCTTCCTTTGAAATCCTTCTCAGTTTATTATTCAGTCATCTTGCAGTTCAGTGCCTTGTAGTTCAAGCTGAAGCTTTCATTCATTCATTCATCAGTAATCTGTCAGACGACAGGTCAACAGTCTCTTCCAAAACAGTTCCTCCGCTTAATGCGATCTTGAGCTTTCTCCTTCAAATAAAAATATCCTCTTCTGTCCCCAAAGTCATCCATCTTCTTCTTACGTCTTCGTCCTCGTCTTCTGGTCAGTTCTATCCGCCCTTCCGGTTTGTTTTGTCTCCAGAGAAAACATCTCGCATACATGGTATCTCTGTTTTTGGAAAGAGACTATCCAGGAAAAGTGATAATATGGTAGTTTTTCCATTTGCTTTCCACATCGCAATACAACAGCCATTCAAACCACTCTGGTCACGCCTGTTGCTATACGAACTTGAACCATCTCAAGCATCATTTGCTCTGTGCTTCAAATCGCTGCTGATGACGCTGCTTCCGGCATCAGTTTTTGGTGTTTGGTGTCTCTCTTTGTCTGATGCCTACCCGTTAACCTGTCCAGCAAGGGAGGCCCTGCCAGTAGCTACGCTACCGCTGGTATAGCTCTCAGGGTCCTTAGCATACTCAAACCCCCTCACCACGATAAGGTGGAGACACCGGGGGGTGAAGCTTTATGCTAATGGAATTAATTTTTGTTACAGCTGGGGGAGAAGTTCAGAGACAGTGACACTGTTGTGATAGCAAAGATGGATGCCACAGCAAATGAATTGGAGCACACTAAGATTACCAGCTTCCCCACACTAACACTCTATACAAAGGGCGAAAATAAGGTGGGTACATTGTTCTCCCATTCCTCTTAGCCCTTGATAAATGTCTTCTTTAAAATATTAAACCATAATACAGAATTTGGGGGGAGGGGGTAGAGTAGTTTTTAAAATTGGACTTCCCTTGTGATAGGTGCACATCTCTGTCACTTCGCTTTATTTTAAATTCCATAGATCCTTTTCATGTCACGCATGCAATAGGATATACAACATGTCAAAATACATAAACACATACATAAAAACAATGAACCCATCAACATGCAATACAGTCACAATACAAAATTTGTACATAAAATATTCAAATATGATCAAATTTATGCAGAGATATGATTATCGTTGTCACCATATAAATGAATACAAAATACCTGTTCATAATATAGAAGTTTGATGCAATTATTTTGATCACATAACTACAAATACTTAATTTAACAGTCCAAATATAGTACATTTCATCAGGATTTAAAAATTAGAATATACAATAAAAATTCAGTATATACAATCAGTCATTTCATAGCAAGAACCTTAAAATTTGAAAACTATTTATTAACATACTCCTCTACAGCAGCCCTGTCCAACGTGGCACCCATGGTATATTTTTCTGGCGCCCTCCATAACCACATATAATTGAGCCGATTTTTAATATTAATTCAAATTGTAAGATGAGACATTTTTGAACGTCTGAGTACTGTTAAATATTTTCGAAAAATTTTATTATTGTTGTTGTTATTATTATTATTATTATTAGTAGTAGTAGTAGTAGTGGTGTGTGGTGGCGTCTGAATTGTGCCCGAGTACATAAGAACGTTGGACAGCACTGCTCTACAGGATAAAAGGAAATGAGCTGTGAGTAAATCATTCATGACCATCTTAGTTGTATATAGTCATATGTTATTTAAAACAGATGGTCTATTACAATACCATACTACCATAGAATTTATACCCCTAAATGGCCAGCGATTAGTCAGTGGATAATACATCATGTGTAAAATCAACCTAACAAACAATTCAAGAGAATATCTGGATTACAAACCTTTGTCTTCTTTATATTAAAAGTATTCATTTATAGAGTAAAAAGAATGATGACATAAAAACCTCTTTAATGTAAATTTAAAGCTCTTCCCATCATTAACCAAAATCTTTATTGATCATGGAAGATGATTGAACACTTTAATACCTGTTATGTAGGTTCCTTTATTAAATTTTGAAGTATTCACACTAGGTACATGTAAATTACCTTGGGATCTAGTTGTATATTCATGAATCACGTTCTTAAGTTAAATAAATGTTTATTATTAATCTATATAAATAAAAATGTAAGTGTTGGTTTGTTAGCCCTCGAAGATCTCCGAAAGTTCTTCACGGATTGCTTCGAAATTTTGACACAACGTTGCATTCGAACACGCGCGTTTTTATATACCTATTATATATATGGCACACCTGTGACAGGTAAAAACATGTCACATGTTCCGAATCCAGCAGTCGTTTCCATAGTAACGCTAGAACAGTTAGCGTATACTTCCGTGGAAACACAATAACAGTGGGCCGTTGCATAGGAATTGCCGAAACAACAAACGCGTTTCCCCGGAGATGAGACGATAAGTGGTTCGTTGCGTAACAACGGATGAAGCCAGAGACTTCTACAAGGTGTTCTGTCATCCATCGAATACCAACAGATCGTTGCCGTTGCATAGGAATTGCCGAAACAACAAACGCGTTTCCCTGGAGAAGAGAGGATAATTGGTTCCGTTGCGTGACAACGGAAGAAACCAAACACTTCTACAAGTTGTTCTGTCGTCCATCAAATACCAACAGATCGTTGCCTAGGAATAACCGCGGCAACGAGCACAGAACACGTAGGATAAGTGGTTCCGTTGCGTAACAACGGATGAAACCAAACACTTCTACAAGGTGTTCTGTCATCCATCGAATACCAACAGATCATTGCCTAGGAATAACCGCGGCAACGAGCCCAGAGCACATGAAATCGAACCCTGGGCGAAAGTGCCCTCTATTGCGTCCGAAACCAGGTTATAACAGTCCAGCTCCGAAGAGTTTTTTGGTGATACTGGACGTGATAATAATTGTACTCGCTGGTGTAAAAGTGAGCGTTCAATGACTTATTCGCTGAATCCGAGACGTACATGGAAGTTATTTGTCGCACTAAATAGGAGACACGTGACCACAACAATGTTACATACGTAACACGCGACATATTCTTATTATCAAAGTACATGTAAATAATGCAACAATTTAAAAGACATCAAGAATATGTTACTCACTAAAAATGTATTTTAAGACTTTAGGATGTTAAAATCATGTGTGACATATGTCACACCTGTGACAGGTTGGTTGGTTGTTAAAATATTAATTGTACTCAATATTAATATGCTGTAACATGTTATACGTCGTTCATTTCGTGAGTATAGTATAAAAATGTAAATGTTCGTTTGTTAGTCTTAAATCTCCGAAAGTTCTTCACCGATTGCTTTGAAATTTTGACACAACGTTGCATTCGAATGCGCGTGTGTTTTTATATACCTACTAGCTGTACCCGGCCACGCGTGAATCCGGAAAGTATACTTGCATGGAAACGCAATAACAGTTGCATAGGAATTGCTGAAACAACAAACGCGTTTCCCCGGAGATTAAAGGATAAGAGGTTCCGTTGCGTAACAACGGATGAAACAGGAAAGTATACTTCCATGGAAGTTCATTTCATGAGTATAGTTTATTTTTTATTGTGTTTCGTTTCGTTTTCTTAACTGTTTTCCTTATTTTTCAGTGCAATTGGTGGTGGGATTGAGCTGTGTTGATTGATCTGCGTTTGAATTGAAATATTTCGTTAGACTGAGCCACAGCAACGCGTGGCTGGGTACAGCTAGTTATATATAAAAGTAGTGCATATATATACTGAGAATATAACGTCATAATTTCTAATTTCTTGAAAATATCCCTGCAAGAATCTCTAGGTTTAGTGTTTACTCAGAGATAGTTATACAGTCTTGGACCTGCAGCATAAGTTCGCGGTGGTGGAACATTTGTACTTAGTAGGCATGCAGCAATATAAAGAAAATTATTTGCATAGTTTCCTATGTGGTCTGTGTTTCATCAAAGGAAACAGGCGATGAGTTCTTCCTAGAACTTCTGTTATGTTAACATACACACTGCCTTATCAAAAGCTGGTCATTCACTGGTGCTTTGTCATGCCATGAGAAGACAAAATGTTATCCTTCAGAACCCACTTTGAGCATATAGTTTTATCCTGTTGCAAGATGGTGCATTATCCTTCTTGTTATTCTTTTGGCAAGTGTAAACATTATAGTTAGTAAGAATAAACATAATTGTGAAGTCTGAAAGTAAGTGGTTTGTAATATGTACTCCCAATGTCTTGTTCCCCTCCAGGTTATTCAGTATAATGGAGAACGAACATTAGAAGGATTGTCAAAGTTCCTGGAATCCGGTGGAGAGGATGGACAGGCAGCTCCAGATGAGGTATGATACTTAGCCAAATTGCATTTCCCCAACTTCTCGTTGAAAGTCAGTCAGAATGTGGCTGGTTTTTTCCTAACAAAGTTGGGATACAAATATCCACGCTTCTATCCTTCTGTCTGGTGTACAAGGTAGCTTGACAGACTGGAATAAGTATGGGACAAGATCTATTTGATGTGCGAGTTTTTTATTTTATATTTGTCCATCTGGACAGTATTGCTGTCTAGTGTAACTAACTGCAGAACTTCCTGCTTTCAAGAAACCGAAGAGCCTGCCACTGGTTCCTGTCCAGAGGCAAATGAATTCAGTGTGTACCTTCATATGCCATTTTCCTAAGATCCATTTCAGTAATAACCTCCACTTTGTGCCTAGGTGTTCAAAGGGGTATCTTTCTTTCAAGTTTTCGGGCCACAATTTTTGTGACTCCCTTTGCTCATATGCATGATAATGTCAGCCTTATCCCCGATATTTGGTGAAGAGTGCTGATTGAAGTTATATATGCTGCATCTAACTTGAGAGTCAAGGTCTCCATTATTTCTGTTAGTGCATAAAAACTTTGGAACAGGAGGTGCAAAAACATTCCTCTCATTAAATTCCAGGTTATGTACACAGAGTTTTGGTTTTGATATTCCATAATTTTATGTTTTGTATATGTGTTGTTTGATGTGGAGTTCTGTCAGTATTGAATCCCGGAAAGTTTTTGGGAAATATTAATTTAAAGGAGTGAAAAATTGTCTGTAAAAAGTGCATTGATATGTGCCCACGGTAAAGGTACAAACAGATATAGTTTGTCCCTGTGCTTAACTGATTAAGCACCATGCTATGAAGATGCATAGAGGAGCAATGTACAGAGTCACATATTTTTGACCATGGCACTAGTTTGAGGTGAGTGGTCAACCTCACACCCCAGCCACTTCACCCCCAGGGAAAGAGCCTCTGGTACCCATTGGATAGGAGGCTGGGTGGGCCCCAGAACCAGTCTGAAAAACATGGAGACAAGAAAAGTCTTGCTCATACTGGGACTTCAACTCAGACCCATTGGCTGCCCATCCTGTAGCCAGTTGCCATACTGACTGCACTATCCCAGTGTCCATGACAGAATAAATGGAAATATTTTGCATTGTCTGTATGGAATATTGATTGGGCTTTTTTTTTATGTCAGTACTCAAGTGAGATTTTTCCCTGTGTATCTCATAGTATATGTAGTGAATTCATTGGGAGTCTGATTTATGAAAAGGAGAACATTTTCTTTTGTTTGGATGCATAGTGATATGTAGATTGGGATTAGTTTGAGAGGGCTGAAAATGAGCTAGAAACCTTTGATTTGGAAATATTCTTATCATGCAGAAATTTCACTTGGAGCATCGTTCATTTTCAGGCTGAAGAGGAGGATGAAGATGACGACCTTCCTCGAAAGGATGAGTTGTAGATACTGTTTGGAGTGATACGAGCAGACTGTTTGCATATTATTCAGAAGTTTGTACAAGTGGTGTACAGTGGTAAAATCCTTCAAAACCAAATATTCCAAAGCATCAGGACCAGACAACAGAACAGCACACTTGAGTGTTTGCTGTATTTGTACCATGATATTTGTGGCTTTTGGGACAGGATATTTCTTTTTGTTATACTCCATTGTACTGCAGTTGCGATTGTTTCTTCCAACCTTTATAAAATATAAGATCTATTCTTCCTTTACATCGCAGTCAGTGTTGGAAATGTACTGTTGATTTACAAGGGGAAGTCGGTAATTATCCTCCAATGCAGTTGTATTTGTGTTTCTATTGGCAGCACTGTCATTTTGCGCAGCATCGCTATGCGTGGCTTCCATCTTATTATTTCTGAGCAGGCTTGATGTTGGTAGGTCAGTTCCATAATGACTGCCTTGCCATTAATCATGGCTGCTCCGCATTCTGTTTGCACCAAAGAAGAGTGAAGTTCAGTGATTGGAAGGTTCATCGGGGTCCACAGCCCATCAGAGACTTTTGGTACAATATGGGAATTGTGTTTTGCTCCAACAGAGTGTCTATGAATGGACTGAACAATTAAAAAATGGTCGCATGAGGAAGGAGCCAGACGCCCATCCATGGCCACAAATGAGGACAACATTGAGCATGCATGTGACCGGCAAGTGACTGTTGATGAAGGGGCAAATCGTATGCAAATTAATGATGGTTCTGCCTTCAAAATCATCCACAACAGACTTGGGTTTCATAAAGTCTGTTCAAGATAGATACCAAAACAGTTCACAGTGTTGCATAAACAAACACGCTTGGACATCTGGCAACAACATATGGATCACTATGGTAATGAACGTGACGCCTTCTTAGACAGAATCATCACTGGTGACAAAATATGGATCCATCATTATGAGCTGGAGAGTAAATAGCAGAGTATGGAATGGAAAGATTCACATTTGCCTAGCAAGAAAGAGTTCAGAAGCCAACCATACGCAGGAAAACTAATGCTTACAGTTTTTTTGGGACTCTCAGAAGGCCCAGTGCTGGAACATTATCAGGAAAGGGTCACAATAAACAGTGCTTATGAGATGCTTACTGACTGGCTAAAGCTGCAATTCAAAGCAAATGCCAAGGACTACGGTCAAAAGGTGTTGTGTTGTTGCATGACAGTGCCTGCCCACACTACTGAAACCCTCGGGAAACTGAAGTTTGATGTTATGGCTCATCCTCCATATAGTCTCTATCTTGCCCCCTCTGACTGTCACTTGTTTGGTCCACTCAGAGAGGCATTAACCATTTCCAGTCGTCACTTTTGGAAAACTTTCTGCAGCCATGTCATCAAGGGATTTTAAATTCCTGCAGAGTCACTATTAGGCTATTAGGGACGAACAGCCTTAACACATTAAAGACCGGTTGCATGATATCATGCTTTTTGCTTTTAAACGTGGCGGACCGGTCGCATGATATCATGATTTTAGGACACGTTAGCTTGCAACACACTATACCTTGCTCTTTTGCTGCGCACCTGCGTGGCTATTGAGCAACAGACCTCTGGAATGTTTGCTTAATATTCAGGAACGTGACCTTACTGGTTTTTTTAACCCACTCTAAATAAAAATGCTTTGCCTGTCTTCAAGTTGTATGTATGAGCCAGTAGTTAGTGGTGGAGTATGGATCAAGGGCAAATTCCTCTCCAATGAGCTAGCTTACATGGCTTGTGAGACGCGTAGTGATGGTGACTCAGACAGTGGCAGTGACAGGGGACAACAAAGATTTGTGGCCACAGACAGTAAAAGTGACAGTAGCTCCAACGAAAATGCGGATAGGACCATTGCGGGGACAGCAGAAAATCACAAAAATCTAAACCCTGATTCGAAATTGAAATACAAAGCATTTCTGATGAATGTGGCAAAGGTCTGGGCTACAGACCAGATGGTGGTGGCAGAACCAGAGTCAGACACAGACCTAGTGTGACCGGGCCCATCAACTCCCGCCCCACACAGGCTTCATGTGGACCCCCCAAGGCGACTCAGGTGATATGTGGAAACATATCCTCGTGAAAATTGTGAAGAGTGAATATTCCAATGGGAAGCTTCCTTCTAGGCAATGCAATGTTTGCACAGTTCACAAAAAAGGAATATGTCTACATTGCAAGTTCTGTGTAATGCCACTTCACAAAGGGGGAGCACTTCTAGAAGCATTGATAAGTGTTCTCCAAAAATTTAAGTTCATAAAATTAATTAGATTTTATATTAATTTTTAAAGTGAACATTCATCTGAACTAGAACCCATCATTTCATCACGTATACCAGCCAATCATGTGACAGTATACACATTTCTTTCTTCTTATAACTGTCACTTACCTCTTCTGTGTACACAAACCAAAAAAGCCCGATAAGCTATGGGACCTACACTAAAACTTTTTGAAGTTCTTGAGAGTGTGCTGTCTTTCAAAACAGTCCCCAGACACATGGCTGGTTGATTTTTGCAGGTCTTACAATAGAATGTTCTTTTCTGGCTCCCTTGACCTTCCAATTGCAGCACACTCTTTGTGTTTCTGTTTTTCATAGTGATAGAGCAAGTGAGGTGCTTCCATCCAAAATATCTGCAAAAAGCAAACTCTAGACAGTACATCACCAAAAAATTGTATATGTGTTGTTCACTCACTTAGACCAGTAGTCTATAGTTTATAGCTGCATTGTGGATAATTATTGACTTACCTATTCTGTCCTGTTTGCTCAGAATGGTTGCTTTTTAGTATGTTACTTATTTTGTTGTGTGCATTCCAAATGGGAGAAATTTCCTGCAATGAACATTTCAACACAATTGGGAAGGGAGGGTATGTTTATGATTCTTGTTTCAGATTATACATGAGCATTTGTTATTTTTTTTTATTGTTGTATAACTATGTTCTGAGATAGCCCTTCAAGTCAGTATTGGAAGTAACTTGGCTAACAGTAATCTGGTACTCAGCAGATCAGTGTAGCAGTAATACTCGTACTTTAGACTTATATGCAGGAGATTCTTGTTTCTAATCTCCGCTGGGACAGCTCAGTATCCTGTCTGAGGGGTTGAACCTAGTTCCTCCAAGCAACTGCTAGAATAATACCTTTATAAGGCCTGAACTGCTGCCAAATCCTTTCCCATATGTTATGCACCAGTCCACCATTTGAAGCTATATAGTCTTATGGACAACATTATAAAATAATCAGTAAAAATGCACTCTGGTCTGCAAATTGTAGATTCAGCTGGCCTAGTAAGGCATAAGCTGGTGCAATGGGATTGCTGTGCATTACAGAGAACAATGCAAACAAATTTTTTAGTGTGTAACATGAAGAAATGTCTTGTTAGTTAGGTGTTTTCTGATGGCATAGATTCTGAACACCCATAGATATACATCACAGCTTGGATTTGTGGTGATAGGTTTCAAAACAGCACTACAAAATCTGATATTGTATGTCTACATGTAAATAGGTTTCAGAATGGCCATAGGAAGTCTGATATTATGTCACTACTTGTAAATATTTATTCCAGAGCTTTTGTATTCCTTGGGGATGTGTATGAAAATTGCTATAAATTCATCCAGAGCCAGATGTTTGAAAGTGATATAATATCTTGAGTAGGTGGCATTCAACAAGTGAAGAACATTACTTAGTTTCCATAGTGTCATAGTTAGGTCATCATTGTCAAGAGGATAGTCCTTATTAAAAAGTGTAGAAATCAAATCAGCAGGAACTTTCCTGTGGTAACCTTTCAGGCTGTCTTGTAAGTTAGGTGGTTTGAATAATTTGCCATAAACAGAAACATTTCATATTCAGTGACATGAGATGTGGAACTGGAGAAAGTCTGTTGTGTTGGTAGTAGTATTATTGATTGGTTACTTTCACCGTGATACACCTGAAAAATACAACATGAGAACATACAGAAGTGTCCTTGCCCCTAGGAGGGGCACAGTGTACCTCTTGCAGTTGGTGTCATTTATGAGTGGCAGATATTCCTGTTTCACTTATCAGATGTCTCCACTTTGACATTCCTTATGGTGCAAGTTGCGATAATGGCTGTTTCAGGGGCAGTTTTGAAGGTGAAACTTCTTGCCATGCTTGTAGATGGTGTCTTATGTTGGCACGTCATATATTTGTGTTCTTTTTGCGTTAGATTTTGACCTTATGAGGTCATCAGCATAATTGCTGAACTGTATTGTTTTTTATTTAATTTTTTTAAACTTGGTTATATAATGTCATTCTTGTATGTTGTGACCTCTTCTGGTTGTCAGTCATTCAGGTCCACTTGGACATCCACTGGTGGGATGAAACTTAGGGTTGTTATGATGTGTCATCTTCCTCCTCATCTGTTTTCATTAGTAGCCTCAGGTTTGCTACCAAGTGATAGTTCAGTCTCATCTTTGATACTTGGTGTCAGAGGCAGTTTCTATATTCTTGTTTCCTTGAGTGTGACACTTCTAGTAGGTGGTTACCATTATTTTGGGGAACATACTACCTCTATATTAATCTTCAGTGCCTGAAAACTTTGACCGCCTCTGTGGTCTAGTGGTCAGCGTTCCTGGCTACAGATCCAGAGGCCCGGGTTTGAATCCCAGTGCTACCAAATTTTTTTCAGAGAAGTAGTGTGTGTGGAACAGGGTCCACTCAGCCTTGTAATGATAATTGAGAAGCTATTTCAAGGAAATAGCGGCTCCGGTCTAGAAAACCGAAATTAACGGCTGTGGGGATTTGTTGCGCTGGCCATGCGACACCCTCTATCCGCAACATAGTTGGCACTAAACTTCACCGACATGTGGCAGTCACTCAATAGGTATGGTTCTCTTGCGGACTGAAATAATGGAGTTTTTTTGTCCCCCCCCCCCTGAAAACTTCATGTTTTGTGATCAGTTTTTTCCTGTCCTGTAAGAATGTGAACGAAAAAAGTGAAGGAACAAACTGCAATAGAACTGCTGAGTGTATATGACTGCTTTCTGCCAAATTTTAAAAGTGGGGCAAGTTCTGTCTTCTGTTTTTAAAATGGCTTGCAATAGAAACAGGTTTTGTATTCATAAAGAGATGTTACTGTGGGAGCTGACCTTGGTGCTTATTGACCAGAGAAGACTGAGTCTAAAGAATCTCAGATGGGTGTCATGATTTACAGTCGTTCCCGTTTTAAAGTTTTTTTTCCTATGTTATACATCTCAAATGAAGAGTCTAAAATCTGTTTTTCCCTCACATTTTTCCCAGTGCTTTCCTCTCTTCTTGATGTATTACAGTGGCTGACTAAACCATTTATGACCTAGTTCCAAGAGACACAGCGGTTGTTTTCTATAACTTCTGTCATGTTTCCAAGAAGACTTTCCAATATTTTATTACTGCTACCCCTAACGTTTCTCAAAAATGAATTCTAACTGTTCTCACCTTATACCACTATCACTCGACATTGTATCATCGCAGCTTTCACACAAGAGTTGAGTGAGATTGGAAAGTCATCAGTAGTGTAAGGTGCTTGGTACTTGCCATGTTATCAACAAAAAGTATTCTGCCTCATTTAATGAAGTAATATTGGCAGTTAATGATTCATAGCAGCACTGACAACAGACAGTCCCCGTCTCTGTGCCCTGTAGTAATTATGGAACTACATGCATGTAATGGCCAAGCTACAATAATATACCTGTATCTGTTCAGTGATATGAAAGGAGATACATTTATGTTAAATTGGTTGTTGGCAAGGATAGTAGAGGTGTTGTTTACACAGTGAACCGGAATTTTGAAATTATATTTTTTGATGGCTGTATGATTTGTGCCACTGAACTGTGTTAGTGCAGATCTTAATTTTGGACACTGGGAAATATGAACATTTGTAACATAAAAGCTTTTTATTTATATCTTTTTAAAAGTGTAAGTGCTGTGTGTAGTATTTTGTGTAATGGGTTGTGGAGTGTGTAGTGTGGTGCTGCCTGTAACTGGAATATTGGTGGCAGGATATTGCTGTGTGTTATATGCATTTCTAGCTCATGGGCTTCAACATAAAACCATTACAAAAATATATAGAGAAGATAAAATCAAGTTTTTTGACAAAATTACTGTTCTTTATTCTGTTTTCCTTTATTCACTGGTTCCTGAACTGTTCTCGGGGTTTTCTAAAGACAATTTTTTTTACTTCTAACTTCTTGACTTGTATTAAAATTACAAACTGAAAGAAAAAACCCAAAAGTATCTTCTGTTATTACTAGGTAATGAGGCACCTAATTCTGAGAGGGACTAATTAAATCTCCATAGAACACCTACTAATATATCTCTCTTAGTAAGACATACATGGAATAACCAATTTGTTTATGACAACATCTGGCACCCTGTTCTCATCCCACTTGTTTGCATGATCAGCAAAACATTTAGTGGGAATTCCTCCTACCCTCTGTATCAGATATTAGTCACCAGTTTCCTGTTCTTATGGTGTATGCTGTTGAAGATTTCATAGTTCCTTCTTTCATGTGTGTTTTCTATATATACAGTTGAAATTCAAATTGTCCAAACCTGGGCTATCCCAGTTTTTATCTTTTTATAATACATTGTTCTCTTCTTCCACTGCTGTACATTTAAGATATCTTTTGTCTCAGTTTGGTTTTTGTATGCGAGCATCCCACCACAGCACAATATTTTGTGTGTGTATGTGTGCATGCATGTGTTTAGAGGAGGAAGGTGTAGGTAAGTTTAGAGTTCACTTAAAATCTTTATACAACACACCTTTCTGTAAGAAAGACATTGATATCAAACAAAAAATCCTGAAGAGTACCATCTACTGGGTTATAATGCCCAATAGGTATCTGAAAGTTGACTGATGTTTTGGAGGAACATATCGCCTCCATCCTCAGGTTCGAAGAATAAGCCGAGCAAGATACCAGCGTGAAAGCACGAGGCAAGCAGAGCCATCAGCTCACCAGAATTATGGATTATATAGGAAGAAGGGTGGAAATGGAAGAGTGGGCCTCGGTTCCCATTCGCTTGCCCGTAGGACAGAATGAAACCTCTTAGCTGTCACACGGCCACCGAGTGGAGTGTGCGCGCGCTGAATGTGCAAAATCTTAATGTCCAAAGCCTCTACAAAGTGCTTCCAGTGCATGTTTTATGCAGGCCCATGTCCATTATGCTGGATTCAGCACATTCTATTTATGGAGCATCTACGAGTCTAATGACCAAATTGATTATTTTACATCTGTAGATTGGTATGTTGCGGTAACTGTAATTTTTATCCAACACAAATGTATTATGTATTATTAACTTAAGTATGGCAACTGTAATCACATCAGACTTATCAGATAAACACAGTAAAACTAAAAGATGCATTTGCATTGCTGTAAGACAGTAATGTAATTCATTTGCACTCTGTTCTTTTTGAACTAATTCCTTCACCTTTTGCTTCTGTTTCTTCCATTCTTTAGTCATCTTGGAAAGTTTGAGATTTGGTTTAGTAGCCTCTTCTTCTAGAAATACATAAACAAAGGACTCTTGCTAACTGTCTTCAGCCTGAAATAATAATACTTTTATATAAATATGCTGAAAACTTTCAACATCTTTGTTGACAGTATTAATTTTAAATCATGAGTTGTAAGAGAGTTAAAACAGCACCTCACAAGACCACAAGTGCTGTGTGTCTTACCTTTATGAAAATTGTGTGCATGGTTGAAGCATGAGTGAATTTTTAAACGTAATGTATTTTTAACTTCTATATAATGATTGACATGCATGATTAAAACTACATCAATATAAAGGATTAAATATATAAAAGAAATGTGTTTAATCCTTCCTGTAAAGTGTACTCGTAGCTTATATTGTCCATTTTAGGCCAAGATTATTTCTTTGCTCCTATCATAATAGAACATGCTAAAAATAAATGTGTCCCATCATTTCTAAAAAAAAAAGTAAAGGTATCCCTGTGACAGGCCATGGAGGCCCATAGGGTTGTGAGACAATGTTCCCACATTTTATAGACAATCGGCTCATAGATGGCGGTAAGGTTGTCAGCCCTACGCATCAGCTGCTCTTTACCCCCAAGAATATTCCTGATGCTCATATCTGTTAAAGGCTGAGTCGACTCCAGGGCCATAGTGCAGGTGGAAAGATTAGGTCAATTGAAAAAATCCAGTGACCTCATTGGAACTTCAACCCGCAACCTTCCAGCTCAGCCTCAGCCAACTGTGCTACTGTGTGCCCCTCCCATCATTTCTAACATACTAAAATCTCCCTTAAAACTTCAATATAGTGAAATTCCAGTTTAGTGTTCATACATTTAGTGAAACCTTGTTTTTAGTGAATATTTTTCTGGTCTCAGCTGAAGCCCAATGTATTGTTTTCTTGTATTTGGTGAATTCTTATTTACTACATAATCCACATATATAAGAAATTTTTTACCTTCGGGAATGCTTACCTCAATTTATCATGATTGATCAACACAGTAATGGACATTCACTTTCCTGTTTTCTGGAAATTATTAGTGCTTAATTGTAGTCTTTGACAAGTGACACCACATGTTGAATATGCATCAAAGCTTCAGCATCTGTGTTTTTTTTCCTAGTGGGGTGGGACTAAGTCCCTTGTACTATGGCCAATTCTGGCCTATTTTACCAACCCCAGATGATAGGTGAGGGTGACGGTGGAGCAATGGGTGGAATGAAAATTGGCAGGGGAAACCGAAGTACTCGGAGAAAACCTGCCCCAGTGCCACTTTGTCCACCACAAATCCCACTTGACCAGACCCGGGATCGAACCTGGGCCGCCGCGGTGGGAAGCCAGCAACTAACCGCTTGGGCTATGGCGCAGCCTCACATGTGACAGCTTAGTTGCTTAGATTCTTGTCTGAGGTTATGAGAGTCTGTAACTGAATAGTGAGGAAGTGAGACAGGAAGCTGCACTGCAACCTGAACAGAACAAACATTGAAAGAGGGATAACAATTCTAGAGGTGGGGGATGCAAGAAAATGAATAAGAACCCACCTCTGAATTTCCAAAAAAAACCATGGTCAGGTTCAGCAAGTAACTTCATGCCTCATCTGGGGTGGGTGAGGATCTGAGCAGGGGTAGGCCATCCCCTTGTCAATTTAACATTGGAGGACAACTGAATTAGTTTCCAAAAAGAAGCAGCAGGAATGCAGATCACAAGGGGAAGTATTGTGGACTACAAAGCCATACAAAATTTCCTCACTGAGGTTTTCTACATTTTACATGAAAGCAGATAAACCTACTGAAACTGTTATCAGGCATTTGCCAGGCAATACTTCTACATAGGACAACACTGTAGCCCTCTGGGACCTGGACTATGATGTCATCACGGTAAAACAGATGACTGACAAAAATTCCACTCTGGAAGGAGGGGTCACACACATCTCCCTCCCCCTCATAGTTATGCTAACAAGGAATCCAGACACCACTCTGTAATATAGTTACTGGGTAGACCTCCCCAAAGGGGATCACTGAGCCAAATTACAGGACGTTTCCTGCCCAACAATAGTCTCTAAATTTCCTGATAGAGGGGGGAAGCATTATAGACACCGCTAAGCAAGTGGCCGAACTCGCTTTCTCAGCAGGACTGATGGTATGCACCTTTTATCGGTAGGGTATAGAAACTCGTAGAATATCATAGAGGGAAGCACAATAGATCAAACTGGTCGCGGTGCATGGGGAAACCCACCCTCTCTAAATAACTAACTAACTACTGGGTAGACCACCTCCACAGCTCTGTGCTTCATGGGAACCGGTGCGCTGCTTGCTGCGAGGTGCATATGAATTTTGCCGGTGAATCGGTAACAATTGGAATGAAGGGAAGTAATTAACTTGTGGACCACTTGATGGTATTATATTTCACAACAATCAGTGTGGTTCATGCATGGAAATGTGTATGATTTGATAGCAGTAGGCAGCAATTATCAGCTCCATTAGCCATTTGTTCTCAACTACAGTTAGTGCACTGTGTGGCATGTCATGGTGCTGTATACTAAAGAGCAATGTGTATTTCTGTATGTCACCCATGTGAACTATGGATCTCCTAGAAAGTGTTGGCAACAATTTCAATGTAAATTTCATGATGAGTTCCCAGCAGATAAACAATTCATAATTTGGTGAATATACTTAGAACAACAGGATTCTTAGTAGACAAGAAACAAAAACATACGCGTAGAGTGATGACAGGAAATGCTAGATGACATAGGAGCCAGATTTGAAGATACACATGGAAAATCACTGAAACTTCTACCTCAAGAGATTGGAATGTCAAAATCTAGTGCAAGAACACAATGAAGCCATCCAGTGAAAATTGGTGTCTGGTGTGCTGTAAGTGCAAGAATGATTGTTGTACATGTTCTTTTTAACTACACAATTAATTGAAAAAAATACCTGCTTGTAGAGATGATGGCATTATCAACACCTGTGATCTATAAATTGTAAATATATCATTTCAAACATTGGCCCTCGGGCATGCAGATTCATCTGCAAAATTAGTATGCAGCAAGCAGCGCACCAGCTGCTGTTACGCGCAGAGCCATGGATCCGGTCCACACAGTAAAAACATTTTCTGTAGAACATGTAGGAATAGGAAGTAGGGCATTGAACAGTAAGTCCTTGTGTTGTGATGGGGATGTAGCATGAACATGGAACTGGATTTGGAGTTGAAATTGAGATCAGTGTTCCATAATGTTAGTAGCTGTTGGCGTTTTGATTATTTTTAATTTCTCATGCAATAAGTGTAAAGCTACATGTTTGACAATAACATTTAGTCATGCTTAATATTTGTCCCTCAGTCTAGAAAACCGAGATAAACATGGCATCAGTGAGAATGTACTCGTATGTGTCTTAAGCCCATGAAAGTTACAGCTTCTCTGAGTGTTGCTGAACTGTTGTTCACTGAGGGGAAGGAACTGAAACTTAATACTTGCATCAAAAGAAGCCTAGATTCAATTTGTTTCTAGTCTTTACTGAAGTCTGGGCATGTGTTGTTTCAGTGTAGTAGGACTTAATAAATTGTCTTTAACAAATTATGAATAATCATGGAATGCATGTTGAAAATTCAGTAGGAAAATTTAAGTTTACATCTTGCTATGGTTTCCACAGATAACCCTTCCATTGCTACACACTTATAATTCAACATAAAGAAGGAAGTTCTTGTTACCTGCTTCATGTTGGTTTCATACGTAGCTTACTCTTTGACCCTAATGATGGAGGTGACTATTTGTTGACTTTTAGCTAGTTACATGGCATTAAATCCCAGAAGGCAGATCTCTTCAAGAGAAACTTTGGGTTTTAGATTTGAGCAGAATGTTTAGGATACAGCAATCACTCGCTCACTCACTCATGGAGCTGAGCACTTCTTGAGAAGCTGCCAATTGTGCAGCTACTCAAGAACTTCCCAGCATTTTATGGAACCTGAAGGTTCATTACTGTTTTCACAAGAGCCCTTCACTGGTCCCTATCCTGAGCCAGATCAATCCAATCCATACCACCCCACCCTGTGTCTCTAAGATTCAGGAGCAGTGCCTGTGCAAGACGATCAGTAATTTTAAGTTTCTAACAAATGATGATGGTGGTGTTAATGCTTAACAAATTATGTATACAATTACATAACTGTAACATAATTCATGTGAGGTCTAGTGAAAGTACGAGTAATTATGGATAAAGGACATGTGTGTTTCGTATTACATTTAAAAGCATACTTGTTAAGTTCAGTATCCTTTCGGAAACTTTACAGTTTGTGTTCACTGTAAAGGCAAGTCGCGGATTTTAGAGATTACACTGCCACATGCTGAAATAATATAATGTGTGTAGGTAGGAAGTAATATTTTCTTGTCTCACATGCCTCGTACATCAGTCAGTGCTTCTGCACACCACAACTATTCTCATTTGTAACGCGGTGAGCCACACGTCTTTCATTCACCTACGACCGCTCTTCTTTCGTATACACGCGAGAAACACAAACAGCTGTGTTATGTTGGTACAACTGAAAGGCGTACTGCAAAACAATCGCTGCTAAAAAAGAAAGGCGGGACCGAATAACGTGTTTCCCGTCAGGTAAAGCGTAGGAGTGCAATTTTGGTTTTGGAGTGATAAACCGTGGAAGTGTATCGTCTAACCAAAATGTATAATTTTCCACCATCTCACAGTCATGTGGACGAAGACTGAAATGCTGTGAAACGTTCTTGCATTGAATCTTGGTCACCAAATGGCCTAATTCTATTTCGACTGGTGTTTCCAAATTTGGTTCGGACTTTCGTTCCGGCCGTTGAAGACAAGGTCCTCCTCATTGCAACGGTATGTAAGTTATTTTCATTTTGGAATGTTTTAACGAGCGTTTTTGTTTGGCATTATATTATTATTCGTTTGGGCTTGCTACTGCCTCATTTAGGGTTGCTGTTTGACCATAAAATGGGGTAACATTGCGATCTAGGTTGACTTGCAATGTTACATAAGTTTTGGTCACTTTCTGGGTCTGGAGTAGGTAGACGGCTGCAGGTGGTTACTAGATGTATTATTTTTGGGTTTTCAGTATGAACCGAGCGAGGCGGTCCGCGGAATTATTTTGTTGCAAATGCATACTTGAAGTACTGAATTACTGTATGACATGAATTTAGGTTTAACTGATATTAAATACTTGCTATTTTGGAGATTTAGTCTTTTTTTGTGCTGAAAGATATGCTTGGACACCTCGTTCCATCTGGGGGGGCAGTGTGAATGCAACGATTGAAACGGATAGCTGCAGCTACCGTCCCCAAGTAGTAGTGGTAAGTAGGTATAATAAGGGAGGAATTGCTAAAACTAATTCAATCAAATTTGTAACCTTAAATATTACACGTGCTGTTTGCTACATGTGCTTTAGTGAATGAAAAAGAATATAAAAATAATATATTGGGTGTATGAAGTCCTTTCTTTCTTTCGTTGTTATTTGTTGTTCATCAATCATAAATGGGTTTATTATCGAAAAGTAACGTTTGGCCTTTTTATTGTTTCTGTTCTTCACAAAATTCATAAATCGATCAATTCGGGACACCATGGTGCTAAATAAGAAAAAATAATTGAATATTAATATGTATTCGCAAGATTTACATTATAAATAAGTAGTTTCAGTATATCAGTAGGTATAGTTAATTTTGAGAACAGACTTGGGCGAAAAATCGACGATTTCAGTGGTATACACATACAATACTTGAAATATGCAAAAAGAAAAACTAACAAGATGGTTTTAGTACTAAAACAGAAACATCATTTTGCATTCTCCAAATTTGCATTATATAATTTTGTTTCAAAAATATATACTGTATAAGCAAGGAAGATGCATAATTTATTCAGATGTTAAAATTTGCTCGTAGCTGATAGTAATATTATATTTAATGTCTTTTTATCATATTCCTGTACTTTTTCAAGGATATGCAAACAGATTGATTTTGAAAGAATATAACGTGCTTTACATTCCTTTAGAAAAAATTTCCATATATTTTCAGTCTTGGCCATTTTGTGTGACCTCCCTGTAGGAGATTGGCAGTAAAAAGTATAGTCTGCATGGCTGTGATTTCTTTCCATCCATTCTTTCACATAGTTTTCTGGATTAAATTCACATATTGGATGACCAACTAAAGAAACGAACATCAAAGCAACTGCTATTTTCAAAAGCAACAAACTTCGAACATGGGAAATGTCAGTGTTCATGGTTCTGAAAGACCAATCGCGTTCCGCGGTAGATATGAGTGCATTAATAGCTGCTGCAAGTTGCAGAAATTCACAAGGAAGGATGTTGCGGTCCTCACCAATAGAGTATTCGCGGAATCCACGAAACACACATTGAGTTCTTCAGCCAGCCCACGAATCTGGTTATCCCCAAAACAAGGATAGGTTTCCTTAGGCCATTCTGATCTATCCCAAATATCCAGGTTGTGAACCAATTGCGTGTCTTTTTTCCGATTCGACAAAGCGCCACTTCCTAAAGACAAATGAGCTCTGGTAGTAAACATATGAATGCATATGTTTCCACTTAGCTTCTGAAAGAAATCTTATGTACGTTTCCAAATTCAAATATAATTGTTTGAAAATCTTATTTATTTTGTATTTCTTCATAAAATTAATCGGGGTAGTTTGAGTCATTTGTCGAAATACGTGATATTTTACAGAAATTTGACAAAGAACCTGTGGTAGTATGAGGTGGGCAGGGCATGTAGCACGAATGGGGGAGACGAGGAATGAATACAGGATATTTGTGGAAAAGCCAGAAGGAAAAAGACCACTGGGAAGACCAAGGTGTAGGTGGGTGAACAATATTAAAACGAATCTTAGAGGGATAGGATAGGATGTTATGGATTGGATTGATATGGCTCAGGATAGGGACCAGTGGAGGGCTCTTTTGAACACGATAATGAACCTTCGTATTCCATAAAATGCTGTAAAATTATTGAGTATCTGCAGAATTGGCGGCTCCTCCAGAAGGGCTCCGCTGCATGAGTAAGTAAGTAAGTACCTCTGGTAGTGGAACTTCAATGACAGATGTTCCGGTTCGGTCTTGTCATCTGACATGAGTTCCATATCCTACACAAAATTCGCGTTAGAGTTTCCTTTTGAGGCCTGCATATTGTTCGCTTTCTCTGCTCGTTCGATTTTGGTCTGTTGATGCTTTGTGTAAATGTTTGTATAATGCTGGATAATTCTTTTAGATATAAAAAAACTCCGTGACCTGTATTCCTCAAGCGAACTATACCGACCGAGCGACCGCCGCTTGTCGGCGAATGCCAACTTTTGCGGATAGAGGGTGTCGCGTGGTGAGCGCAGCGAATCCCCACGGCCGTTAATCTCGGCTTTCTAGACCGGAGCCGCTATTTCCTTGAAATAGCCCCTCAGTTGTCCTCACGATGCTGAGTGGACCCCGTTCCAGACCCACTACTTCTCAGAACATCCGGTAGCTCCGGTAATCAAACCCGGGACCTCTGGATCTGTAGCCAGGAACTCTGACCACTAGACCACAGAGGCGGTCATTCGGATGTATATTAACATTTTAAATTCCAGTGGTTCTACTGTTCTCTGCTGGTCTTATGTAAATATCACTGAACTATTTACACGTATTTGCAGCTACTTTGTTAAACTGGATTGTATTTCGTTATAATTTTCATAAAACAAGAAACGTCGCTATGTGTGATGAAGATATGGTCTGGAAGAATCAAAGATTGTTCTGGTTGAATACTGACCATGTGAAATATTTTTTTATGGACTGTACCACTGTCGCCGGTGACGCATGCAGTGCAACAAAGAAGAAACCGCGTCGCAGCTCTTTGAATATGAGGTTTGCCGCGTCTTAACGTCTCATGTTGTGTGCAGATATAAGAGGTGTAAGCCTTTGATATCATTATCTACCAAGCTATGTTTCCGTCCCAGCTGTGAGTATTCGTAAGTTCAAGACTGAGGTCAGCAGTGAAAAATGAAAGACAACGAGAAAACTTATTGAAGTCACTGCATATAAAGTACGCGTGATAAGCAGGCGATTGAGCATGCTTCAGTGGCGGATTACTGTATGCGTAAAAATAACAATACAAGTGCAGAATTTTCTGCAGGAAAATGGGATATTTTTATTTAACTTTATCAGATTTATATTCGCTACTACATATTCTTCACTGTATTATACTCGTATTTTGCAGAACGCTTGTTGGGGTGGAGTCCTAGCTTCCTTAGACACGTGTCACACTAAAACTGTATATCTTCTGCATCCTTTCACTTTTCTTTTGGAGTAAACTGCACGACCCTTTGTTGCCTCCCGCATCATGTGCCTGAAGTAGGTGCCATTTGCCATTCAGACAGTCCTCTACATGTGTTGAACTTGGTCTTCCTCCTTTTTCGTGTCATTTTGTTTGGAAAGTTTCCTGCCTGTCCTTCAATCATTTTCTAAGGGAACTGCAGGTGAGACAAAGGGGGAAGCTTTGCTGACTGCCGGTTCATGTTGTGCAGGGATTTCTTCACTTATATACCTGTTAGTTTCGGCAGTTATTTCTTTAAACAAATTTGCATTAAAATATACATACTTTCTTACCATGAAGTTGAGCCCTTCTTGAGGAGCCGCAAATTCTGAAGCTACTCAAGAATTTCCCAAAATTTTATGGAACCCGAAGGTTAATGACCGTGTTCACCCTATCCTGAGCCAGATGAATCCAATCACTCCCATCCTATCTCTCTAAAATCCATTTTAATATTGTCCACCCACCTACGCTTTGGTCTTCCCAGCGGTCTCTTTACTTCTGGCTTTCCTACCAATATCCTATATATAGGATATCTCAATCACCAGTGATTAAGATTAGCTCTTTCTAAGGAGCCCAACTGAGTAGGCGTCTTCCTTTCTCATCTGAAGACGGAAACAGATCCAGTTTTCGAAACGTCGGGTCCTCCATTGCCTAGAATTCCGGACGATGGAGAAAGTCCAAAAACCCAGTAATTCTGTGTGTCATCCACCATCGTCAAAACCCTTTAGAATAAAAATAAAGTTGTAACTGTCGATCCCCACAACTATACCCAGGCCTATATGGGGGGAGGGCATTTGGTTCAGGCCTCTGCCATAGGGGGCCCAAAATATGATATTATTTCATTAAAAATAGAAAATTGAACCAAGACTGTGGGAATTTCGTAAATCGTTCTCATTACTTAAATTACAATTTATTTTAATAAATTACAGAATATGCTTTTTTAAATCAGTTATTAAATATATTCATATAATCATTTAGCTTTCTGGGAGAGGTGGGGGCCCCACATTTGCAACTTGCCCGAGATGTATCTCTCCTCTCTCAGGTTCTGATGACGTCCACAGGAACGAATTCCGAAACCTGCATTGTAATAATTTCCTTTACAACATGTATTGGTCGTTCCGTGGGCCCGTCTTCTGATCTGGACCGTCCATCTGGTTGTGGCGAGCCTCAGATGTGAGACCGGACCAAGTCACGTTGCGTCCGGCTTGCTCACACGTTTTGTCTCCAGGTCCTACTGTTCAACGGATTTAAACTACCCCTGGCAGGTCTACTGGTTATCTACGCCAGAAGCTGTTAGGCGTGATCATTTCGGCCCATGTGTGCCCAACATAATCTCCAATTCACATTAAATCAGATGAGAGTCGTATCATAATGAAAGCCCGCTTATAGCGAAAGTAAACTATTCGTGACAGGCCTGTAAGGTATACACAGTATATCATTAAGACCCACAACCTTTATCTGAAACATTTTTATATATATATATTTAGCACCATTACCAGAAACGAGCATGAAGTCTATTTTATAAGCCTCTTTCAGGGATTAAAACTTTTGCTTCCATGTTTCTCTCTGACGTCCCTGGCATCTGTCTTTCGGTTTATGTTGGCAGTAGCAGCTGTAACATTGGGTTTCCAGACATTCTTTTCAAATGTTGTAGCCNATATATGTATATGAAGGAAAACGTGTGGAGATTGTTCTATAAAAGTACAGGAACGTTTGATTTTGGGATCTCCCTATTATCTGCGTTTAATATTTTCATAGAAGTGTTGAAATCTCTTTACTTTCTATTAACACTATTTCTTCTCTCATACATATTCTGCAGCAGACTCAATTTAAAATTTTCACTTGTTGAAATATTCTATTAAAACGTTTTAATATCTAAGGAAATAAAATATAAATTATGCCTTCATGAAGTGTGCTGTGACCTTTGCGACAAAACATTTTGACATAGACGCAGGCGCACTTCAGTACAAGCAGTGGTGATTTTCTTTTTCTTTTATTCGTGAAGAAAAAAATAATTAGGAAATGTGTGCATAAAGTGACAATGTTGCATCGGCTCGTTGTGTTTAATTATCTCTCAATCCATAAGAGTTACGGAAAACACATTGGACATAAAATGTATGCTTTATTCTTCTCTGCAGCTTTTCTTGACTAACGAGATAAAAGACAAAGGCTTTTCGAATCGGTCGAGATAGGGTTATCCTTACAACCAGAATAACCACGACATGTTATTCCAAACTTTGTTATTAACCTTTTATTAATCAGTTTGTCTGTTGAGCGGGTAAACTATCTAGAAGAATCTGTGTTCAAGTCCACCAAATTTCTCTTCACAAACATTCAGAGTCAACAAATCCTTTGCGTTTTGTCCGAAAACCACCACTGAGTACCCCTTTCCAACATTGTTACAGATGACAACGATTGCAGTCAACATTTTGTGGAAAGTCACACTCTTTAGTTTTATTACTGAAGAAGAGAGTGCTTGGACAGTAAAACAGAACCGGGTTTCCCCAGTCGCATATGTAAAAAGCATTGCATTGTGTTGGATGTGGCAGAAGAATTTTTTCGTCATTTGTAGGGGGACATGAGGGTTCCTTAGCGGGTGTACAAACCTCAAAAACCGGGTCAAAATACCAGTATGATGGGCATTCAAAGAGTTGGGCTTCACCTTGGTGACATCTGTAGAACTGCGAGCAGTTTCTTGGGTTCGACACCAGATAGACGTAGTCGAGGGCACTTTGGTCAGATGGACAAGCTGGAGGATCGGTAGAAGCAGTCAGCCTTGTCGTTATGAGCGGAGTGCAGAGAACCTCTTCAGGGTCTTCACACCTCGCAGGTGAAGTTTCGCTGTAGTGTAGTTTGTTAGGGCACCGCAGCAGTAGCGCTGGTATCGTGTCGTTCCGGTTGCACTGGAAGAAACAGCTGCACTCGAACTGGTGGGGTATGAGAGCTGGTCCCGGCACGGGGCAGCTCACAGCAGGGGACTGTGTGGAAGCTGTCAGGGATGTTGCCAATAGCAGCGCGACGGACATAGCCGTCAGTATCCATGAACCTGGAATGTGCGGCAGTCGTAATCAGCCTTGTTCGTTTACGCTTCTCTGACATGCAAACCCCCACCTCTTCAGCACACTATACTATATACAGAATGCCCATAGAATATGTTTAGTGCTTCAGAGTGTTATAATTTCGTAATCATGCTACATGACACTAGTTAACGAGTTACTGGTATCTTAGGGGAAAAAAATTTAAATTAATTATAATATTCTGATTTATAATCCAAAACAACGATATTCCAGTTACTTCGCAGTTTTGTGTACTGAATTTGAGCCGAAACAGAGCTTTTTAACTCTCGTATTCTTTCTTAACTTTTTCATAATTTTTATCAAAATTACACGTATGTTCTATTATAGAATAAAAGTTTATCATAATTGAAATAACGTGTTTGTGTCAAGTTGCATGATAAGTAGAATGTACTTCCACATGTCTTGCGTACAAAAATACAGAATAAGAAGATAAGTCGTGAACGTTACAACTTTGTGAATGTCATTAGATTAGATTAGATTTTGCATTAGTAACATTTCACGTGTATAACGTGAGTTCGTAGCCTGCGCGACATCGACGTATATGGATTTACCGCAAAGGAAAACATTGAATCTTTTACTGAAGACGCTTGGTATGTTTGTAAAGGTGGAGGAAATTAAATACTCATGTCTTGTCATCACAGTAGAAGAGAAAAACATAATGCTATGGCATGTCTGATGAAAGCTAGGATTGTGAACGTAGCAGAGACAACCGTTCCTAGTGAACGACTCTGCAAACACACCCTTTGCTAGGCGATGGCACAATAAACACCATTCCGCAACAGTATTGACGTCACGCAACGACAGAACAGCTGTTGTCGACTTTGTTTTCTGTGTGGTCCGTGCTGAGGCTATATAACGATTAATAGCTGCTATTACGAGAGTCTAGAGAAATTAGAAGAGTAGGAGGTTGGTGTGAGATAACCGCCAGCCTGAAAGGACGTGATGCCCAGAGGAGAGGAACGTCTATTGTTGGATGACGTTACCAAGCAGAGCAGTGAAAACCGTGACTGAGAACACTACTCTGTGTGTGATCTCTGGAGTGTAGTCACGAGTTGTCTAAGAGCCCAATAATTCCGATTATCAATCCAAACCCCGTCTATAATCACTTAACTCGTGATTATATGACCTTATAGCTAAGGAGACCTTCGGAAATGTGACCGAGCTGAGATATTGGAGAACGACAGTAGCAAATCAAAATTACATCCACGAAGAATTTAAGAATACATCAGATTCTTGGAATCCTTACTTCCATTTGATTCACAATTCATTATCTTCCCATACCCTACACAAGAACGCACAAGGCCTAAAAAATACGACTTCAGCGGTTATTGTGTAGGGATGTGAAACTTGGTCTCTTACCCCAAGAGAAGAACAAAAATGAAGGTGTGTGTGGCCACAGAGCTAAAGAGAACATTTTGGATCCGCAAGGTTGAGGAGGTAAGAGGATCACGCTTTGAGAGATGAGAAATACTGTAGAATTTTAGTGTGAAGTCCTGAACGGAACTTGGATCGATTGCAGGTTCTTGTGGACCTCATAATTAGTAATCAGGGTCCGCAAAAGGCCGAAGATTTCTTGACTAACTGAGCGAATATATGTTTCCCTAGAGGGGCAGAGTTCCATGGAATTAATCAAATGGCCGCACTGCTCAATCCAACTGAGTAGTAAAAGCTCTTCCCCAGAATTGAATTAGCCTCTCCTCTATCCGACATCTACGAAGAGGAATCCTATGAAGTACCACAGTGCTAGTGGTCAGAGTTCCTGACTACAGATCCAGAGGTCCCGGGTTCGATTTCCGGTGCTACCAGATTTTCTGAGAAGTAGTGGGTCTAGAACGGGGTCCACTCTGCCTCGTAAAGTTAATTGAGGAGCTATTTCAAGGAAATAGCTGCTCCGGTCTAGAAAACCGAGATTAGCGGCCGTGGGGATCCGTTGCGCTGACCACGTGACACTCTCTATCCACAAAAATGGCACTAATTTCACCGACAAGCGGCGGTCGCTCGGTCGGTATAGTTCGTTTGCGGACTACAGGCCACGGAGTTTTTTTGTTTTTGTTTTTATTATATATTCGTACATTAACTTGTGATGTGGTATGCCTACTGAATGGAATGCATGCCTTATCTGACGAGCTATAAAGTGTATAATGGCTCGAATGTGAATATTTCACCCCTAAGCATGGAATCTACCTGCTTGACCAACATTTCAAGATGCTAACAGAATGTTGACATTTACTCTGTATTTTCATAATAACTGTGTGAACGAAACTGCAGAAACAGAAATTAATTTATATTCTCCATCCTGTAAGTCTCCTGTTCTTCACAACTTGGCATCAGCTATGAATATCACCACTAGCTTCGTAGTTTTTGCTACATGGTCGTAAACGAGAGGACAACGTAAACACCTGACGATGGTCCTTGTGAGACCGAAACATGTCTTGCAGTAGTGGGAGAAAGTCATGAAGTAGGAGTTAAACCAGAAACCACACGAAGAACTGCACTGAAGAGTGTGTTTGTATACATATATCAAGAGAGAATATTTTGATCAGTCCAGAGCCTTTTGTCTTCTTGTCTGCTGTCTAAGAACATAAAAATTAAAATATACAAAACTACAATTTTGCCTGTAGTTCTGTATGGGTGTGAAACTTGGTCTCTGACATTAAAGAAGGTACATGAACTGACCGTGTTTGAGAACACCGTGTTGAGGAGAATATTTGGCTCGAAGGGAGATGAAGGAACAGGAGGCTGGAGAAAACTACATAATGGCAACCCTTCATAACATGCATACTTCTTCAAATGTAGTTAGAATGATGAAGTCAAGGAGGATGAGGTGAGCAGGGCACGTAGCACGAGTGGGAGAGAGGAGATGTGCATATAGGATATTGGTGGGTTAGCCAGAAGGAAAGAGACCACTGGGAAGACGAAGGCGTAAGTGGGTGGACAATATTAAAATGGATCTCAGAGAGATAGGATGGGATGGTATGGATTGGATTGATCTGGCTCAGGATAGGGAATGCTCTTGTGAACATGGTAATGAACATTCGTGTTCCATAAAATGCTGGGAAGTTCTTGAGTAGCTGCGCAATTGGCAGTTTCTCAAGAAGGGCTCAGCTCCATGAGTGAGTGAGTGAGGATAATATTAAAGTACATCTTAAGGACTAGAGTAGGAGAGTGTGAACTCTATGCACATGGCTCAAGGTATGGAATAGTGGAGGGCTACTGTAAACATGGTACGTCTTGATGAACCTTCGGGTTCCGCGAAAGGAAATTTCTTAAACTTTCTTTCTCAGTTTGACACCGATTTCTCGTATAAATTTACTTATAAAAACTGTAACCTTGTTTATAACATAAAAATCCGCATTGTAGCATTACGCCCGTCTGTCAAGAAACATTTCTGTGTGACAGAAATGATCGCCATTATCTTATCGTTTTATTTCAGGTGACGTAATCTCGATGCTTGGCTTCTCATTTATATTTTCAAGGTCTACTTTAGTTATTTATATGCACTGACTCTTGAAATCATAGACTTTTCTGCTTCAAGTATTAGCAGTGCCATTATACGTTATTCTTGGGCAGTTACTCGACCACAGGAAATATTATTTCGTAATTATAAGATTTTTAACACTTTTCATATAAGTCTGTTTCATGTTGTTCTGGGTCTGACACATGGACCCCGCCATAATATTTTCAAGGTGGTAAAAGGGGCGGGCAGATAATTTTCTTGATAATTTTCTTACAAACTTGAATTTAAGCCATTTAAGAATGTTCCGTCCGCGGGTTGTAGGTTTTCAATTGTTAAACGCTCTTCTATTCGGAGTAGAAGAGTGACTTTCTAAAAATAATTTTAATATTTAGTATGTTTCCATCCTTTTTCAATTTTTATTTCTCCAGAAATCCAATTGGGGGGGGGGGGATTTTTTTGGCTCCCCCCCAACCCCCCGCTGCATGCACCCACGTTGGTATCAAAGCTTCGGAGGTACACACTGCTTCCATCTTTAATTGTTACCGCGAAGTCGCAGGCATATTTTCTTCCGAAACATTGGTTACCACCCACAAGACTAAGATCCGTATATTTACCTCCGCGAAGTACGATCGTACATTGTTCTTTATTGAAATGCATGCAGTTCTCAGTGTTCATTGCACATGCGCCACTTATTAGTTTTCAGTTATATATGTATGTCTTTCTCAGCGTCATTTTCCTCATACTTATGCCTGCAACTTTGTACTTCATTATATATCTCTTTCCGATGCTTGTCTGGCCATCCAGCGGTTGACAAACCTTCTTTACTCTGTAACTAGCCAAGAGTCGAATCAGAGTTGAAACACCGAACTTAAAGCCGAAGATATGACGATGTGCTGCCTGGTCAAGGGTTACCGCACATTTTGGGGGACGGTGATAAGAACGTATGGAGCAATGACGGAATGATATCTGGCAGGGGAAACCGGTAGAAACTCAGAGAACCTTCTTTACTTGGACTACCACGAATCTCACATGAAGTCACGCAGGATTGAACTCAGATCTGCACATTGTGAAGCCGACGGCCTTTCAAGAACACTAAGGAAAGAATTAAATTACTACTACTGCTGCTGCTGCTGCTGCTACTACTACCACTACTACTACTACATACAGTGTAAGAATTTATAGAAAGAACTTAAGATTCCCATAAGCGGCCTCCATAGTCCGTTCTCACCTCATGACTCAAGGTACGCGGGTTCAAACCCGGCGGAGGTCGTGGAATTTGTAAGGGCAGAAAAATTCAGGGAACAAGTCCTCCGGGAGGGACTTTAAGCCGTGGGTCCCGTGTCGTAGATTTACGGCACGTAAAAGATCCTCATCTATGAGACCTCTGAGCAAAATTAGGTAAAAAATTTCCCGCCCAAATAGTTTCCAATGCCTCCGGTAGAGGGGCCAAACTCGCTGGCTGAACGGGGCTAATAGCAACCACCAGTATCGGAAGGGTATGGCGACTGGTAGAATATCAAAGGAGGACGTACAATAGATCAACAACTGGTCGCGGTGCATGGGGAAAGCTACTCCCTCCAATAATGAATGAATGAAGATTCCCATCAGTCATAAAACGCATCAGTACTTATGTCGTAGTTAACAAGAGATGTGAATTTATAGTTGCGCAATTAGTCATCTATTTCTGGGAACAGGCCATAGGACCTAACACACCAAAGGAAGAAGAATGAGTTATTTATTTCTTTGCATAATATCGCCCAGTAAGTTACACATTCCACATACATTGAATTTGTCAGTTGAAACCTCAAATTTTCGGAAATCTGCCATGTTTGTTGTCGTTAACATGTGAAAGGGGTTCATAGATGCCCATTTCCGATGATTCACTGCTTATAGGCGTGAAACCGAAGGATAAATATCAGCTGTATGCTGTTACCCTACGTATTTCAGAAACATTCATTAGTTGGCGTTAGTGTCGCTCTCAGTTTAGAAAGTTACGCGGTCTCCATGCTGGTATTATTGACGTCAGTATGTTAACAAAGGCAGAGTGTCGTGTCTAGAGGCGTGATTTTTGGATAAAATATAATTTAAATTAAATTGCCCGCAAGCTATTAAAGGGGACAGAGAGGCGGACATGATTCCATAAGAATATTTTACCTTATATAATAAGGAAAGTAATCCGGAGAGTAATAATAATAATATTTAATATCAAAGATAAATACGTGTCTCTGTTTCCTATGAAACGTCTGCATTGTTAATGGGTTTCACCGACGTTACTTTGGGACTTGGTTCACTGTTGCATTATTTTAATTCTGCAGCGTCGACAGGCAGTGACATTTCGAAGATTGATCATGGCCCACTAACTGTTTGATGAAAATTTATGAGATAAATATCTTATTCTGGTACAGTTTTGTATTTCGTCTTAAATGATTCAGTTAGTTTAAGTGGGTACTTACCCATAATTATGTCCTGTGTAGAGAAACGCGTCGGCTCCAGAGATTTGCTTTTACGTTCTAAATCTTAGGCGGTTTCTCGGATTTGATATGAAGTAGCAATCTGCCATTTGATGTATCTGACATTGAAGGCGTGATAAGCGGCTTATCAGATTCTCAGGAGAACAGTTAGTCGGGACACAACAAATTATATTCCTTACGTCTGTTTCCAAAACTGAACTAAAACTATCAAAATTACTTTTCCTTCTTGGGCGCATAGTAAAGCTGCCGATATTCCTACTTAATAAAATATTATGTCAGGAAGACGTATGGGGAGTGGAAGAATAGCTCCACCGTTCTCAAACTCGGCTCTAGATGGAGGTGAGCATCCATTGAATAGGAGGCTGGGTGGGCTTCAGAGCAGGTCTGGAAAAAGTCTCTCTCCCTGTTGGGATTCGAATCCCAGCCGTCCAGGTCGTAACCTGTCGCTATTCCGGCTCCTGATATAATACTTAGCAGCTCCCCTATCATCTTAGTGAAACTAACATTTCAGTTGCTTCATCCTGATTAAGATTAATAATGAGTACTTGATCAGGTAGGCCGGCCACGGTAGCCGAGCGGTGTAAGGCATGTGCTGTCTTCGCTCGCTTGGAAACCGGGATCGTGGGTTCGAATCCCACTCAGGGCATGAATGTTTAGTTTGTCTGTGTGCGTTTTTCTGTGTTTGTGTACAGGTAGAGGCCTTCCGACGAGTTGATCACCCGCCCAAGGAGTCCTACCGTATGTCTAAGATATAGAAAACCCGAAGTGAACGGAGAAGTTCGTGGAGGTAGGCCTAGGCCCACTGGAGCTAGAGTGCCAAGGAAAAAAAGAAAAAGAAAAACTTGATCAGGTTGTGAAGACTGACAGTACAACAGTTCAGACTCTGATGGCGGTAAAAACGACCTTGTAATATACAGTTTCTGTGTGAGCTTAATTAGTCCATAAGTTAAATTATAAATTAAAAATAGTAGCGAAAATTAAAAAGGTAAATTTGCCCTTTGCTTAATTAATTAAGCACTATGCCATGAAGACATAAGTATAATAATGTTATGTTTGAGACTCGTCCCATGGATCATGGCCTACATTGGAGACACGAGCACAGGTGTGTGTGCCTTTGCCTCATAAACATTTCGGCAACCATCCACACATTTGCTATGAACACGTTGGAGGTCTTAGGACTAAGCAACATGAACTTTATGACGTTTGCTCCTCCGATTTTGGTGTTATTTGCCTGACTGAGACGTGGCTCAACGACTTGTGTTATGATCGCAATTTATTTCCTGATAACTGTATCATCTTCGTTTTCGCGGGGTATACATTAGCAAGCCGATCACAGTGGCCGCCCGGTCTAAGGTAATCACCGTCTTCGTTCACTCGATCGCTGGGATCGTGGGTTCGAATCCCACTCGAGGCATGGATTTATGTTTGTGTTTATTCTCTTTGTGTTATTCTGTGTGTAGGTAGCGGACTTGTGACTGGCTGATCCCCCGTCCAAGGAGTCCTACCGACTGTGTATAGCTCAAGAAACTGAAAAAGCGGCCAAGGCCCAACGAAGGGCTGTAGACCAATAGGTAGATAGGTGGGTAGGTGAGTAGGTGTGTAGGCAGGAATTAACAAGACTTAGGGTGGTGGTGTGTTAACAGCTGTATTCACCAATCGGCCTCCTGAAGTCGTAGGTATGACTTAGAACTCTGCCCTTAATATTTTTATGTTGAAATTCCCATTCATGATGGCTTAAATCTGTTCATTGATAAAAAAACTCCGTGGTTTTAGTCCGCAAGCGAACTATACCGGCCGAGCGACCGTTTGTCGGCGAAATTAGTGCCAACTTAAGCGGATAGAGGGTTCGCGTGGTCAGCGCAACGAATCCCCATGGTCGTTAATTTCGATTTTCTAGACCGGAGCCGCTACTTTTCTATTCAAGTAGCTGTTAAATTATCCTCACGAGGCTGAGCCCGTTCCAGACCCACTACTTCTCAGAAAATTTGGTATCTCCGTGACCTCTGGATCTGTAGGCAGGAACTCTGACCACTCACCACAGCTTTTCCACTGATACTGAAACGGAAGTTATAACAAAGTATTTTCGTTTCCTCAAACACACCCTAGACAGAGACGCTTCTCTTCTGTTTTATTAGGAGACTTTAATGCTCTTTTTTTTTTTTGACTTCGAGTGCAGCGTACCATTGCCAAACTGTCGTTATTATTTGAAACTCAGGGGGTTGCAGTATACACTACTACCTGTCTTTTTGGCCTTAGGTAGTACATTGACAGTGTAACACAGAGCAGGTAATAAAATTTAAATACTTAGGAACAGTATATACAGTATATATACAGAGTATAACACACGCAGTCACAGTAGCAAGACACAACACAAAGCACAATATACACATGAAAGTAGGAAGAATATTCCGATAGAAGAAGATAGGTGTGACTCGCGTATTGAGATACGACATAAGGATGACAAATCCTGAACAGTTTTAATATTTTTAATATTTAAAATTTATCAATATATATGACGAATATATATTTAATTAATTTAGTATAAAGACAACAGGGCATGCAATGAAGTAGTTCGACGTACATCGAAAAACACCTGAAGATGGCACTTTAATGCCGAAACATGTAGTGCAAGAGAGAAAAGTAAGGTGAATAAATGTATGCACTGTAAGACGGTCAGAATAAATCATGGACTTAGGAACAGAATTAACAAGAGGTGGAGCAGTGAAGTCGAAAGCATAACACCGAGTTCATAAGCCGCCAGAATATCTGGATGCCTAAATGATGCGACATGTAAAGTAAAAAGTAAAGCTATCCCTGTAACAGGCCATGAAGGCCCATAGGGTTGTTAGACGTTGAGGGTCCCACATTATCTAGACAATCGGCTCAAAGATGGCGGTAATGTTGTCAGCCTTACGCGCCGGCCGCGCTTTACTCCCCAGGAAAATTATTTAATTAATTCCTGGTACTCATTTCTCTTAGAGGCTGAGTTGACCCAAGGGCCATAGTGCGGCTGGAAGGATTAGGTCAATTGAAAAAAAAAATCCAATGAACTCATCGGGACTTGAACCCGCTACCTCCCGGCTTGTAGCATAGCCCCTCAAATGCGACATGAGCGGAACAATTGTCTGCGTTTGGAAACTAAAGTGAGAATTTATAAATCACCTGTAAGACCAGTTGTTACATGTTCTGTCGAGACCCGAGCGGATATTTGTAAAATGAACGGTTAGAAACCACAGAGATGAACGCTTTAAGGAAGACAGCGGAAAAGAAACAATATTAGGTCATGCTACCAACCTGGATATACAGCAGTGCGGAATTCAGCCAATAGGAAGGTGGCTTTTAAAAGGGCTAGAGGACTGAGGTTAACTATATATAAAGAATGAAGGAAGACGTAAAGAACAGACTTTGCTTCGTTGTTTGTTTCGCGGCCGTTGCCTAGAAAAGTATGTTGTTTCAGAGCCGTTCGCTAGTAACGACTCTTTTTTGGCTCTACAGTTCTTTCTTTGAACAAATATGCCACAATATATACTTTTAGAAAACAAAGCTTCGGTTCTGTTCAGCTCGAGTTTGGTCGTGTGCACGTAGTTGAACCTACTATGGCTGCCTTCGAATTTTCAATCTGTATGGGCTTCTCCTTCTTTCGCAGTTTTCTGAATTTTTATCTCTTTCCCCTATTTCGGAATTGGATGTCTCTAAGCCAGTAATAGGTTAAACCACTCTATATCTGCCGGACTTGTTCATATCCCTGGCTTTGTCATAAAAGGCTGTTCAGAAATTTGTCATCCTATTCTTAAATATATGCATGTACTGTCTTCGCTCGCTTGGAAATCGGGATCGTGGGTTCGAATCCCACTCAGGGCATGGATGTTTAGTTTGTGCATATGCGTTTTTCTGTGTTTGTGTACAGGTAAAGGCCTTGCGACGATCTGATCACCCGCCCAAGGAGTCCTACCGAACGTGTAAGATCTAGAGAAACCGAAGTGAACGGAGAAGTTCATGGAGGTAGGCCTAGGCCCACTGGGGCTGTAGTGCCAAGAAAAAAAAATCTTAAATATAGGTATATTCGGCGTAATCCTGACTTAGTAGTATTTCACAATGGCATGCAATGTAGCCTCGATTTTATCAGTATCTAACCAAAGCAATCGTACCTCTGTCAGAAACTTTGCACACATGTATATTCTGAGCTCTAAGTTATTTGAATTCCTTATACGCGATCATGGTTCCCACTAGGTTAAACTCTGTTCTCTCCCCCACAGTTTCGTCACTCCTCTTGTTCGCAGTCAACGTCAGCCCGATCTTAGTGATGCATTTGATACAGTTCCCCATAACTTACTGTTGCATGGCCAACAGACAGTTTTGTGTTCGTGTTTCTGGTATTCACTTCTTTGCCATTTGGAGTTACTCACGGTGTGCCGCAGGGCTCTGTTCTGGGGCACTTGCTCCTTAACTTATTTATTGACCTATGTAGCTCAAGTCAAGTAACCACTGCTGTTTTTATTCTTTACCAATGATATGAACATTTCCTGAGTCATTAACTCACCACATGATTGTCTCCTACTTCAATCCTACATTGATTCCGTCGGTGGAACGCATGTCCTGTCTTAAGGCTCCCACACACCAGAGCGAGGGCGGTGGCGATAAAGTCTCCTCACACCAACAACGCGGTGGTAGCGGTCAGTTTGAAAAAGCTCGTAAGCACATCGTAAACTTCNAAACCCGTGGATGCTGGATATTCTAAGAAGAAAGCAGTCTTCTTGGATGTGGCACCGCGTAGATGTGGTGTTAACCGACGTTTCGGAGGAACGTTCTCAAGGTCTCTTCGCTTGCGGATTTCTTATATTTTTCCTTCTACCCTGAAGATGGAGGCGATACGTTCCTCCGAAACGTCAGTTAACACCACACATATACACGGTGCCAAATCCCAGAAGACTGCTTTCTTCATAGTCACCGCCGTGAAAGCCTCAAATCTTACAAGGTATTTATTCCCTTTATTGCGTACAATTTGAGAAATTTGAGAAGTTATTACAAACATTAACACCACAATTTATTGTATTGTAACG